ACGTCACTGGGAGGGGGGAAAATAAAAGACGCGTGAATCACACGTGAGTCTCGTGTGATTCACGCGTGAAAGGCGACAAAACGGAATGGGACCTACTGTACTAGTACCCCCATAAGACTAGCACCATCCTCTTTTAAATCACTTCTTAAAACCCACTTTTATCGAACAGCTTTAAACTGTTAGTTTTAAACTTCTGCTTTCTCTTTGTTTGTCTTTATTCTTGTGTTTCCTCTGTCTGTTTACTATTCTATCTAATTATGTGACTTATTATCATGTTTGTACAGCTGAAATCTATACAAGATGGCTGCTGCGAGTGGTTTGGGTGGCTCTACTCGCATATCTAAATCTGGATATAACGCTGCTTCTTCAAGCCTTTTTCTACCTGCTTTTAGCATTTTTAATCTCTGTCACAAAGTTCTGTATGATATTTTCAACTGTGCCAAAAAAGACAAGAACTACAAACATAAACGAGACGCTTAACACCTTGTGGCTTTTGTCACCTGCTGCGCCTTAGCGCTGATGCCCATAATGTTCATTTGCGACAAACCAATAAAAGCGGGTGAGCTGAACAACTGCGCAACTGATCTGGACCCACTTGGCATTTTGTGTGAGAAAGCCAAATTAAACTTCTTTGGATTTGGCTATGGTACCATCTTCTCTCATACCTTTTTTGCTAATGTTGCTCAGGCACCAGACAAACGCAACTACACAAGCAAGCCGCTTGCTCCAGGAGCATTCAAAGTACTGCTATTGCTGCTTCTCTTGTCGGGAGATGTACACTTAAATCCCGGGCCGCAACACAATAATAGACCTCATAATATGGTAGGCAAGGGCAAGGCAAGTTTATTTGTATAGCACAATTCATACACAAGGCAATTCAAAGTGCTGAACAAAACCAGAAAGCATTAAAATCATAAATAATCAGAGTACATTAAAAATATAAAATCCCTCAGTTGTATGCACAGCTAAACAGAACTGTTTTTAACCTGGTTTTAAACATAGTCAGAGAGGAGGCCTGTCTCATATCTTCAGGAAGATTGTTCCAGATTTTAGCAGCATGAATCTGAAAAGCAGCCTCCCCATGTTTAGTTCTGACTCTGGGCACTAACAGGAGTCCAGTCCCTGTGCTCCTCAGAGTCCGGGCTGGTTCATATGGGACTAACATGTCACTAATATATTTTGGTGCGAGGCTATGGAGAGACTTGTACTCAAGCAGAGCTGTTTTAAAGTCTATTCTCTGAGCCACAGGAAGCCAGTGCAGAGACCTGAGAACTGGACTAATATGGTCGTACTTCCTGGTTCTAGTCAGGACTCGAGCTGCTGCATTTTGAATGTACTGCAGCTGTTTTACAGCCTGTTTGGACAGACCTGTGAGCAGGCCATTGCAGTAGTCTAACCTACTGCAGACAAATGCATGGATAAGAATCTCCAAGTCTGCTTTAGACACTATGTTTTTGATCCTGGCAATGTTTTTTAGATGGTAAAAAGCTGCTGATGTTACTGATTTAATTTAATGTGGCTATTCAAATGTAAGTCTGAGTCCAGTATTACCCCTATTCTGACCTTGTTTGAAGGTTTTAGGGAGAGAGACTGTAGGTGACAGATGACGCTCTCTCTTTGTTTCTGGGGACCAAAGACAATCATTTCAGTTTTGTCCGTGTTTAGCTGAAGGAAGTTGTTTTGCATCCATACAACACGATGCAGGGTGCTTAATCATACAGAAGCAGAAACTTTTTACTTTCAACAACTTTGTAAATGTCTCTATCTTAAAATTGGTTTTTAAATCTGTGAACAATTGTGTGTCACCTCTGCTCTCTGGGCACATGCTGAAACGCCAGTCTGCACTCAGAGCCTCCACCAGAGCCTCCACCAGAGCCTCCACCAGAGCCTCCACCAGAGCCTCCGTCAGTGGGGTCTGTGTGCTCCCAAAGCTCAGAACATCGTTTGGACAATCCAGCTTCTCCTTTATACCCACATACTCTTTTTTTTAATGCATTGTGGTTATTTATTATTTTAATCCCGTGTGTGCTTTTAATATTTTAAGGTTTTTTTCATTACTTGTGATTTTATTCTGTTTTTAATGTATTTATTGTTTGTATATGTAGTTTTTGATGTTTCTGATTTGTCTGATATTATGTGGGTTGTCAGGCGCTTTGAGTGGCCTTGTGTTGGAAAGGCGCCATACAAATAAAGTTGATTGAGTTGATTGATTGATATGGGGGTTAAACTGTGGAACTCTCTCCCCACCGGCCTGAAACTACAGACTAACATAACCATCTTCAGCAGAACGCTCAAACAGTGGTTAAGATCCAGACAGACTTGTTCTCAAATGTAAATTATATTGTAATACTTTTAAATTTATTTTATCTTCTGTAGTGTAAAAGCCCCCTGTGGACTAGTGTTGAAAATTAGCACCTGTTCTATAACACTTACAGCAATGCATCTGGTTCGTCCAATGTTCGTCTCTCTCTCTCGTCTCGTCTCTCTCGCCTCGTCTCTCTCTCGTCTCGTCTCTCTCTCCCCTCGTCTCTCTCTCTCCTCTCTCCTCTCGTCTCTCTCTCTCCTTTCGTCTCTCTCCTCTCGTCTCTCTCTCCTCTCGTCTCTCTCTCCTCTCGTCTCTCCTCACGTCTCTCTCATCTCGTCTCTCTCTCTCCTCTCGTCTCTCTCTCCTCTCGTCTCTCTCCTCACGTCTTTCTCCTCACGTCTCTCTCTCTCCTCACGTCTCGCTCTCCTCTCGTCTCTCTCTCCTCTCGTCTCTCTCTCCTCTCGTCTCTCTCTCCTCACGTCTCTCTCTCTCCTCACGTCTCTCTCTCCTCTCGTCTTTCTCCTCTCGTCTCTCTCTCCTCACGTCTCTGTCCTCTCGTCTCGTCTCTCCTCTCGTCTCGTCTCTCTCTCGTCTCGTCTCTCTCTCGTCTCGTCTCTCTCTCCCCTCGTCTCTCTCTCCTCTCGTCTCTCTCTCTCCTCTCGTCTCTCTCTCCTCACGTCTCTCTCTCCTCTCGTCTCTCTCCTCTCGTCTCTCTCTCCTCACGTCTCTCTCTCCTCTTGTCTCGTCTCTCCTCTTGTCTCGTCTCTCTCTCGTCTCGTCTCTCTCTCGTCTCGTCTCTCTCTCCCCTCGTCTCTCTCTCCTCTCGTCTCTCTCTCTCCTCTCGTCTCTCTCTCCTCACGTCTCTCTCTCATCTCGTCTCTCTCTCATCTCGTCTCTCTCTCTCCTCTCGTCTCTCTCTCCTCTCGTCTCTCTCAACTCTAGTCTCTCTCCTCACGTCTTTCTCCTCACGTCTCTCTCTCTCCTCACGTCTCTCTCTCCTCACGTCTCGCTCTCCTCTCCTCTCTCCTCTCGTCTCTCTCTCTCGTCTCTCTCTCCTCTCGTCTCTCTCTCCTCTCGTCTCTCTCTCCTCTCGTCTCTCTCTCCTCACGTCTCTCTCTCCTCACGTCCCTCTCTCTCCTCACGTCTCTCTCTCCTCTCGTCTCTCTCCTCTCGTCTCTCTCTCCTCACGTCTCTCTCTCCTTTCGTCTCTCTCTCCTCTCGTCTCTCTCTCCTCTCGTCTCTCTCTCCTCGTCTCTCTCGCCTCTCGTCTCTCTCTCCTCGTCTCTCTCGCCTCTCGTTTCTCTCTCCTCTTGTCTCTCTCTCCTCTTGTCTCTCTCTCCTCGTCTCTCACGTCTCTCTCTCCTCTCGTCTCTCTCTCCTCTCGTCTCTCTCTCCTCACGTCTCTCTCTCCTTTCGTCTCTCTCTCCTCTCGTCTCTCTCTCCTCTCGTCTCTCTCTCCTCGTCTCTCTCGCTCTCTCGTCTCTCTCTCCTCGTCTCTCGCCTCTCGTTTCTCTCTCCTCTTGTCTCTCTCTCCTCGTCTCTCACGTCTCTCTCTCCTCTCGTCTCTCTCCTCTCGTCTCTCTCTCTCCTCTCGTCTCTCTCTCCTCACGTCTCTCTCTCCTCTCGTCTCTCTCTCTCCTCTCGTCTCTCTCTCTCCTCTCGTCTCTCTCCTCTCGTCTCTCTCTCTCTTCTCGTCTCTCTCTCCTCCTGTCTCTCTTCTCTCGTCTCTCTCTCCTCACGTCTCTCTCTCCTCTCGTCTCTCTCTCCTCTCGTCTCTCTCTCCTCACGTCTCTCTCTCCTCACAACTCTCTCCTCACGTCTCTTGCACATGTGCTTCTCAAAGATGTTTGATGCGGAGCAGAGAATCAGCAGCTAGATTTGTGGGATTATTAAAATATGCTGTTTCCCTTCTCTTTATATTACGTTTGTGGACGTCATTGTATTGGCAAATTAATGCTCTTTTATTAGAATAACAATTGTTAATATGACTTTTAAAGTCGGTGCCTCCACAATCACAAACCTCACCGCACGTCACTGCAAGGAATGTCCACGCATACTGATTTGTTGTTGCTTGGTTGCTATAGGAAACAGTACCAGATACTAAAGTATAAAGGAAACAAAATCAGAAAGATCAGCGCAGAGCTGAGCACCAGCAGCCAACAGAACTGAAGTTTCACCAAAAAAACAGATTAAATTACACATTTTCAGAGCCCCAAAACGCCGGCTTTGTAAGGATAATACACTGGACCGCTCTCGTCGCTCTCTGAGCTCACTCACTGGTTTCTTTTGAGTCTCGCTCTGGTCTCTCTCTCTGGTCTTTCGAATACCATGGACTGAGCATTTTGTGTATCAGCCTGAATTCTACTTGCTGTATACAGGACCTGAGGCCTAGGGCCAGAACAGCAGCAGGTGATTTTCCGAAGCGTTGATAAGTAAAAGAGCGGTCCGATGTAGAAGCCGAATTTGGTAAAAATCCACACAGACCAAGACACAATCTCCGTTCCATCGTAGAGGCTTGTGATGTTTGGAATATGAGTGGCCACAAAGGGGCCGTAGGCAATGCTTGTTGGAACTATCACTATTATAATATTCACAAGAGCACGTTTTTTTAGCAAATCACTGCTGCTGTTAGCTCCGTCTCCTGGTCCTCTCTGGCATAGCACCCTGACTATTCCAAACAAGCAAATAAGCATTATCAGAAAAAACACTGAAAAAACCACACCTAAGATAACAAACAGGGTGTCTGAGTCATTAAAAATGTACTGCATAATGGTTAGAAACACTGTAGTGATCCACGTGACGGCGCTTAAAACCACTCGGGGTTTGGTTTTGTTGAGATATATGTACATCATCGGGAACGCAACGGCTACGAAACGCTCCAAGCACATCAGCGTCAGAAAAAAAGGACATCCAAACAGGTTTAAGACCATCAAGAACCCGAAGATCATGAAAAAAGCTTCTTTATTCATGCTCAGTATGGCATGAAGTTCAAAAATCAGAAGCAGACAGTAAACAATGCAGACGATGGAGGTGTTCAGGGCCAAGAGCTGAGGCGGGGAGAGGTTGTGTCTGGATTTGAACACCAGCCACAGGAGGGCGCTGTTGGCCGGTAGGGCAGTGATCAGGATGAAGACATCGCAGCTGAACCAGACGCTGACGACGATGATTAAGTCCTTGTTGTAGCTGGTGCTGTGGTTGTAGCTGGTGCTGTGGTTGTAGCTGGTGCTGTGGTTGTAGCTGGTGCTGTGGTTATAGCTGGTGCTGTGGTTGTAGCTGGTGCTGTGGTCGTAGATGTCGACAGTCGATGGTGCGGTGGATGCGGGGAAGTTGCTGATGTTCTTCATTGTGCCTAAAAAACCAAAGACATTGAGAATATTGTCAGTAACATATTAGACCAACCAGGATTTTAAACTCCAAATCCCATAATGCACATGGTCTACTCTGCTCGGCTTTACTCTACCTGATTCCGTTCCCATAATGCTTTAGTATCTGGTACTGTGTCAGACCCTCATGCTGCTAACATGTACATATGTATACTTAGAACCATATATTTCTTACACTCGAGTATACAGTGCCTTGCGAAAGTATTCGGCCCCCTTGAACCTTTTAACATTTCGCCAAATTTCAGGCTTCAAACATAAAGATATAAAAATATTTTTTTTTGTCAAGAATCGACAACAAGTGGGACACAATCGTGAAGTGGAACGAAATTTATTGGATAATTTAAACTTTTTTAACAAATAAAAAACTGAAAAGTGGGGCGTGCAATATTATTCGGCCTCCTTGCGCTAATACTTTGTAGCGCAACCTTTTGCTGCAATTGCAGCTGCAAGTCGCTTGGGGTATGTCTCTATCAGTTTTGCACATCGAGAGACTGGAATTCTTGCCCATTTTTCCTCGCAAAACAGCTCGAGCTCAGTGAGGTTGGATGGAGAGCGTTTGTGAACAGCAGTCTTCAGCTCTTTCCACAGATTCTCGATTGGATTCAGGTCTGGACTTTGACTTGGCCATTCTAACACCTGGATACGTCTATTTGTGAACCATTCCATTGTAGATTTGGCTTTATGTTTTGGATCATTGTCCTGTTGGAAGTCTAATCAGGAAAAATCAGGAAAATCTAATTCTTGTTCCGTGTAAGAATCAGCCGACCACAACCGCTGATCCTGAAACTTTGAAACTTGCTATGCTAAATGTCAGATCTCTTTGTAACAAGTCTTTTTTAATTAATAATTTTATTTGTTCTTATAATCTAGATCTTATGTTCATGGCTGAAACATGGCTTGACCAAAATACAGAAAATGCAGTTTTAATAGAAGCATCACCACCAAATTTCAAATTTGAATCTGAAATACGGGAAAACAAAAAAGGAGGAGGCTTAGCTGCCATTTTCAGAGACCACTTTGTCTACCATAGAATGTCTCTTGGGAAGTTTCCGTCTTTTGAATATGTGTCTTTTAAAATACTACAAAAACAATCTCCTCCAATACTTTTCGTTGTCCTATACAAGCCACCGCAGTCATGTCACAGTTTTATTGATAATTTTACAGAGTTGCTTTCAGTTGTATGCACAGATTTTGATAGTTTAGTTATTACAGGTGATTTTAATATTCATGTGGATAATGTTGATGACAGAAATGCTAAAGAGCTGGGTTCTGTTCTTGAATCTTTTTGTCTCACTCAGCATGTGAGTGGCCCCACCCACAGCAGAGGGCACACTCTAGACCTGTTAGTTACAAAGGGGGTGAACATTTCTAATGTAAACGTGGTCGATGTTACGCTTTCGGATCATTTTTGTATATTTTTTGACATGTGTTTCACTAACAAACCACCAGTGGACTCTGCAACTGTACGAAGAAGACACATAAATGAAAATACGGGTGAACTATTTATGGGAATGATAAACTTTGAGAATGCATTGTATTCTACTGTAGATGAACTGTTTAACTCTGTCACCTCTAGTGTTTTGAATGTTCTGGACACCATCGCTCCTGTGAAGGTTAAAATGGTGACAAATAAGCAGAAGGCGCCGTGGGCTAAAGCAGACTCGGTCAGGGCACAAAAGAGAAAGTGCCGGAGGGCCGAGCGGAAGTGGCGCAAGTCCAACCTCCAGGTTGATTACAAGATCTTCAAGGATAAGTTGTGCAAGTTTAACCAGGTGCTACGTAGTACGAGAGAAAGGTATTTTTCTGAAATGATTGAAGGCTGCAGCAACAATCTGCGTGTTCTGTTTTCAACAGTTAATAGATTAACAAACCTCCCTGTTCAAATGCCATTAGAGCTAACTTCCAAACGTAAATGTAATGAGTTTGCACATTTTTTCGATGACAAGGTTCAAGGCATCAAAAACGCCATTGTCTCCAATCCACAGATAACAATCCAACAGCCAGAAAGGCTCTCTGAGCTAACTCACTTTGCACCTGTAAATGATCAAACTGTCCAAGAGATAATCTCCAGTTTGAGCTCCTCCACATTTAGCCTGGATGTACTACCCACTAGATTTCTAAAGTCTGTTCTGAGCAGTCTGTTACCTTCACTCACACAGATAGTAAACATGTCCCTTAATTCTGGAATATTCCCAAAGGCCCTGAAAACTGCAGTCATCAGGCCCCTGCAAAAAACAGCAGTCTCGATGCCACGGTACTTAACAACTATCGTCCCATCTAAAATCTGCCATTTATGGGGAAAGTCCTTGAAAAAGTTGTCTACCTACAGCTTACTAGATTTCTTATAATCAACAACTCATTTGATATGTTTCAGTCCGGCTTTAGACCCCACCACAGCACTGAGACTGCTCCCGTCAAGGTTACAAATGATATCTGGCTGAACACTGACGCAGGCAAAGTCTCAATCCTAATCCTGTTAGATCTGAGTGCTGCCTTTGACACCGTCGACCATGAGATCCTCTTACAGAGACTAGAGGACTGGGTTGGCGTCGCTGGCACCGCCCTAAGTTGGTTTAGGTCTTACCTTGAAGACAGGAAGTACTTTGTGGAGATTGGAAACTGTGTCTCAGATCATATGGCCCTGACCTGTGGAGTCCCACAGGGGTCGATCCTGGGACCTCTTCTGTTCAATCTCTACATGCTGCCGTTAGGTCAGTTAATACGCAGAAACTAAGTTTCCTATCATAACTATGCAGACGACACTCAGATCTATGTCTCACTGACTGCAGGAGAACATGGACCAGTGGACTCACTCCTTCACTGTATCCAACAGATCAGTGAGTGGATGCAAAACAACTTCCTTCAGCTAAACGCAGACAAAACTGAAATTATTGTCTTTGGTCCTCAGAAACAAAGAGAGAGCGTCATCTGTCACCTCCAGTCTCTCTCCCTAAAACCTTCAAACAAGGTCAGAAATCTAGGGGTAATACTGGACTCAGACTTAAATTTTAATAGCCACATCAAATCAGTAACATCAGCAGCTTTTTACCATCTAAAAAACATTGCTAGGATCAAAAACATAGTGTCTAAAGCAGACTTGGAGATTCTTATCCCTGCATTTGTCTCCAGTAGGTTAGACCAGTGGTTCCCAAAGTGGGGGTCCCGACCCCCCGGGGGGTCGCGGGAACCCCTGGGGGGGTCGCATGATGATTTCTACACAAACAAAAAAAAACGATTTTTTTTTGTTTGAGCAAATATAAAGCCCTTAAATATTTATTTAGCATTTGATTTGATTCAAAAGGACTACTTGTTAAATTGTGTTTGGAGACTATAATATATTTTAATAACGTTAGTAATTTTGTCCCAGTCATTGCAGCGTCAATCAAAATCATAACGTAACACAGCTCACATCATGCGCAGCGACAAAGCGTGTCCTGCTGTTGTTTGCTAAAACTAAAGGTGTTTGGAGGCTACAAATAAATAATACCTGCTTTAAAATGAAACGTGGTTAATATCCACAACAGAAAAACCCGGAGGGGGAGAAAAGTCACTTGTATCAGGGGTCAGGCTGATGGTGCGAAGAGAGGGAGAGAGGGCAAAGGAGGGAGAGAGGGCAGAGGAGGGAGAGAGGGCAGCGGAGGGAGGGAGGACAGCGGTAGGACAGCGGTAGGACAGCGGTAGGACAGCGGTAGAACAGCGCGTTAAAGAGGCCCGGCTTTTCGGAGTCAAAGGTAAAGAGGTCCGCACATTAAAAGCGGGTGGCCGGTTTATGCCTTTACTGACAGTAACTTTGGAAAGAGAAGCCGCGGGGATGAACCGCATAAAGTAACAGCAGAAAGCGGCCGCCCGCTTTTAATGTGCGGACCTCTTTACCGCTGACTCCGGAAAGCCGGCCCACTTTACCGCAGTAGGAGAACAGTGAGGGCGAGCCGCAAGAAATGCTCTCCACTTCTGCTGAGGAGGGAGCCCACCAAGCCCATCACTGTGTCACTACATGAGTAAAAATATGCAAGCCTCCTTTTTTGGGCTGGACAGTGCAGCTCGGTAGTGGCGTGAGCTCTAGAAAGCGTTACTCCGTATCAAGGAAATACATGCTCATTTCATGTGACGGAAGGGCTGTTGGGGGGGGACTTTGGGTTAGACTACTGCAATGGCCTGCTCCCAGGTCTCTCCAAACAGGCTGTAAAACAGCTGCAGTACACTCAAAATGCAGCAGCTCGAGTCCTGACTAGAACCAGGAAGTACGACCACATTAGTCCAGTTCTCAGGTCTCTGCACTGGCTTCCTGTGGCTCAGAGAACAGACTTTAAAACAGCTCTGCTTGTGTACAAGTCTCTCCATGGCCTCGCACCAAAATATATTAGTGACATGTTAGTCCCATATGAACCAGCCCGGACTCTGAGGAGCACAGGGACTGGACTCTGAGGAGCACAGGGACTGGACTCCTGTTAGTGCCCAGAGTCAGAACTAAACATGGGGAGGCTGCTTTTCAGATTCATGCTGCTAAAATCTGGAACAATCTTCCTGAAGATGTGAGACAGGCCTCCTCTCTGACAATGTTTAAAACCAAGTTAAAAACGGTGCTGTTTAGCTGTGCATACAACTGAGCGATTTTATATTTTTATCTTTCGTTTTAATGTTCCGTGATTATTTATGATTTCAATGCTATCTTGTTCAGCACTTTGAGTTTCCTTGTGTATGAATTGTGCTATACAAATAAACTTGCCTTGCCTTGCCTTGCCTTAAATCTCCGTCCCAGTCTCAGGTCTTTTGCAGACTCCAAGAATGGTCCTGTATTTGGCTCCATCCATCTTCCCATCAATTTTAGCCATCTTCCCTGTCCCTGCTGAAGAAAGGCAGGCCCAAACCATGATGCTGCCACCACCATGTTTGACAGTGGGGATGGTGTGTTCAGGGTGATGAGCTGTGTTGCTTTTACGCCAAACATATCGTTTTGCATTGTGGCCAAAAAGTTCGATCAGACCAGAGCACCTTCTTCCACATGTTTGGTGTGTCTCCCAGGTGGCTTGTGGCAAACTTTAAACGAGACTTTTATGGATATCTTTGAGAAATGGCTTTCTTCTTGCCACACCATAAAGGCCAGATTTGTGCAGTGCACGACTGATTGTTGTCCTATGGACAGACTCTCCCACCTCAGCTGTAGTTATCTGCAGTTCATCCAGAGTGATCATGGGCCTCTTGGCTGCATCTCTGATCAGTCTTCTCCTTGTTTGAGATGAAAGTTTGGAGGGACGGCCGGGTCTTGGTAGATTTGCAGTGGTCTGATACTCCTTCCATTTCAATATAATTGCTTGCACAGTGCTCCTTAAGATGTTTAAAGTTTGGGAAATCTTTTTGTATCCAAATCCGGCTTTAAACTTCTCCACAACAGTATCTCGGACCTGCCTGGTGTGTTCCTTTGTCTTCATGGTTCTCTCTGCGCTTTAAACAGAACCCTGAGACTATCAAAGAGCAGGTGCATTTATACGGAGACTTGATTACACACAGGTGCATTCTATTTATCATCATCAGTCATTTAGGACAACATTGGATCATTCAAAGATCCTCACTGAACTTCTGGAGTGAGTTTGCTGCACTGAAAGTAAAGGGGCCGAATAATATTGCACGCCCCACTTTTCAGTTTTTTATTTGTTAAAAAAGTTTAAATTATCCAATTAATTTCGTTCCACTTCACGATTGTGTCCCACTTGTTGTCGATTCATGACAAAAAAATTAAATTTTATGTCTTTATGTTTGAAGCCTGAAATGTGGCGAAATTTTGAAAGGTTCAAGGGGGCCGAATACTTTCGCAAGGCACTGTATATTATTTCTTTACTTTCTTTATTATTCTAACGTTAGATGTTATTTTAGTATAGAGTAATTGTTTACTTGTGCTCCTCATTCCTACTGTTCTGTAACTGGTGTTGCAACACTGAAATGTCCCCACTGTGGGATGAATACAGGATTTCTTTATCCTAGCAAAACCGACCCACATCAACCAGACCAGAGAGAGAGACCAGAGAGACCAGAGAGAGAGACCAGAGAGAGAGAGACCAGAGAGAGAGACCAGAGAGAGAGACCAGAGAGAGAGACCAGAGAGAGAGACCAGAGAGTGAGACCAGAGAGTGAGACCAGAGAGTGAGACCAGAGAGTGAGACCAGAGAGTGAGACCAGAGAGTGAGACCAAAGAGTGAGACCAGAGAGTGAGACCAGAGATTGAGACCAGAGAGTGAGACCAGAGAGTGAGACCAGAGAGTGAGACCAGAGAGTGAGAGCAGAACTAGAAAAGATTGAGTGAAAGTATTCTCTCTAATCAAGTGTATACAAATGCTCCAGATGTTGTTAGTTCATCTGGATCTTTCTTCTTGTGAAAGAACATGAAAATAGTTTGGTAAAAACAAGTGATTCCCAAATCCTGGAGAGAGACACGTCCACAACTGAGCAGTTCAGGCAAATAACCCTTCTCAACAAAGAAGGAAACATCTGCTTTAGGGTCGTGGACCAAATTTTATCAAAGTATTTGAAAGATTCCATCAATACAAGAAGCAGTCATCCAGGTTTGTCAGTGTGTCTGGAACACACAAGTATCATGAGCCAAATCATTCAATCTTCCAAAGAAGAACCAAAAGACTGTTTCTGGACCTGCTCATTGTGATGGGACGAATCTCAGAGCAGAGATATTTTGTTGATGGTTCCTTTTCCAGCCATCGTAGACTTGCCCATGAAAAGTTTGGGACGATGGTAAGATGGAAACCTTTAACATTGTTCTCTGAAAGTGTGCTTCCTTCAGTTCTACAAACTTCAATGAATAATGTGGCCTCTGACTGTGCACAAAATCCTCATGAGCGAGATGGAAAAACATGATCAGTGTAAAACAATGGCTTGGAGCAGGGGTGTCCAAACTTTTAAGTGATTCACGTTTGACAGAGCTGAAGTTGGCTGAATGACAAATTAGCATCATATACAGAATGACACAATCAAAAACAACTGCAGTACTTACAAACAGTATCAACGGTTGGATTCTAGAGCTTTCCAAAAGGTACAGCATGCATCGATGGTAGAGCTGAAGTTGGCTGGACCGTGCACTTTACGTTGAAGATTAAGATTAAGAGATCCTTTAACCGTCCCACAGTGGGGAAATGTCAGTGTTGCATCACCAGTTACAGAACAGTAGAAATGAGGAGCATACAGCACAAGGTGCATGAACAATAACTCTAGACTAAATAGAATCAAATACAATCTTTTGCATCAAGTGTGTGTTTGTAAGGCAAGGGACCACATCAAATTACACAGGGCCGTGTTTTGTCCGTAGGCCTTAGTTTGGATACCCCAGGTTTGGAGTTCCATGTAGTTCAATTGCAAATATAAAAGAGGAAAACTGGAATCGTCAATCACAGCCTTGTGGAAGAATTCAAGTGCATCAAAGAAAGACTCATTTTGAGTCTTGAGTAAACTAAAACTTACCCAAGAAGAAAAGACACAAAAATAAGAGTCTGGGATACATGTCCAGGTCTGAACCAGGACTGGACCAGGACTGAACCAGGACTGAACCAGCACTGGACCAGGTCTGAGTCTGGTCTCTATGGGCGCTCTTTTTTTCAACATGTTCTTATCTCGTCATCATTGGTTTTTCTTGTTAAGACGGAAATGTTTTAATCTGATGCTAAACTTTGGCACCAACAGCTCAGTCTATTTCAGTTAAAGCTCGAGTTCCTGACTTTTCTGTTTCATAAATAACATGTAGTTTGTCCAACAGTTGTAAAAGTAAAATGTTATGAACAAATCAGACACAACAGAATGTCTTCATCCTATAGAATGTGTGCATGTTATATTCTGTGAGAGAAAGAACCCAGTGAGTCACTATTTGACTCTTTGAGCTCAGAGCTGATTGGCCGAGTGAGGGTGGTCCTCTGGTTTTCATTTCTCTCTCTGAAAAAACTGATCTAAAGATGTGACCCAGGGCCGAGCTCTAAAACTGTTACTGTCAGCTTTAAAGAAGTAATATTCAGTTTGTTCCTTAAACATTACTTACTTACTTACTTACATTAGTACACCTGTTTAGTCCTGACTCTGAAACCAGCTGGAGGCCAGTCCCTGTGTCCTTCAGAGTCCGAGTTGGTTCGTATCCACCCTAATCTGTCACAGATGCACTGGGGAGCAAGGCGAGCAGGGGTGGCCAACCAGTCACAAAGAGCCCATTTTTGTTACTGTGTTACTGAAAAGAGCCACATCATACAAATGGGCACAGCACCCCCATCCCTTACACACACACGTACATGTTTGCACACGTACACACACACGCACACACATACCTCTGCTCAGCCAGATTTATTGTAAATGTCACAAGCCCAATGATAATGACATAAATTGACTTCTACAGTAGTAAAGGGCCGTTTCCATGGGCTCGACTCGTCTCAGTTTGTGAGTCGAGTCAGCCTTTACTACCTGGGTCAGTTTGCCAGATAGGGAATGAATGACAGCGATACGGCCGGGGCATTTTTGACGATTGTCATGTGAAAGCCTGTAAGAGCCGCATGGAACCAGCTGCATGAGGCTGCTAGACAATAGATACTAAATAGAGAATGGGAAAAGTAGTTTCTTCAGTAAAAATGATTGTTGCTGTACACATGCTGGTAGCAGTAACATAAGAAGAGAAGTTGCAGTACAGTCATGCAATCGTAAAAGTAGTATTTGTGATTCCGGTTGGAAGCAGCGGCAGCAGCAGACTCTGGGCCCAGTGAGGGGTCCCACTCAGGAGAAACCAGGCCTGAAGTTTGGAGCTGATAGAATGAGGCCTGCTCTTCCTGCTGCTCTGTAAAAAAAAGAGATTAATAATGTATCAGGTACATGCAGCAGCAGTGGTAAAACATCACGCAGGAGAAGTGAAAAGTTCATATTGAGTCTTCAGAAACCATTTGAGTTCATATGTAATCCTAAATATTTGGTTTTGTCCTATTGTTGTCATACCTGTTCCGGGCGTGTCTTGGACCCGAAAGCAGAGAGGGAGACACGGTCAGATTCAACAAAGATTTTTTAAAACAGGAATAGAAAGACCGTTGTTAAACAATATTTTCTGGCTTAACCAGGTGCGAGCCAGATCCAGGTCTGAAACAGGTCCAAAACAGGTCTACTCTACTCTGTTTTGCCCTACTCTACCTGGTTGGGTTTCTGTTAGTGTGTGTGAGTGTCTGACGGACAAACTCAGAAACCCTTGTGCCATTGTGTCTTTGAAACAAACACCTGTTGTTGCTTGCAGGAGGTGGGCTGTGACCATCAGCTCGGGAGCCGACTCAAAGAGGACAATTGTGGTGTCTGTGGGGGGGACGGGACGACCTGCCGCTTGGTCCGAGGGCAGGGCTCACCTCAGCTCAGCCCAAACCAGTGTGAGTATACTGTTGCTACGGAGCAATGTGGTGCAATCTGACACAATTTCTAAATTAGGCTTCACAACATCATCAACAGGGCAGAAGCAAGTTCAAATCAACTCCATGTGTTTGAGTGGTGGATTTGCCAACAACAGAAAGGAGAATAAAACAGTTTGAACACAGGAAATGCAATAATACCAAACATAGGAACCGTTGGTCCAGAGGGAGTGGGATGACATGATAATAAATGTTACTGATCATCACTGTCATTAGACCCCCCTGCATCGTCATGGAGCCACTCCGAAACCCTGTGAGGAAAAGTGAGAAACCCCAGAGAGGCCCACACTGAGAGAGGAATCTACTCCCACGGGCGGACAGAAAGTAGAGCCAGGACTGAGGCTGTGGATCCAGGACTTAGGCTGTGTGGTGCAGGACTGAAGGGGCTCCCAGGTGGGGAAAGAGGTGTAGAGAGGGATCAGACTCTCTCTCTCTCTCTCAACTGTTTCTCTGGCCTCTCTCTCAGGTGTCTCTCTTTGTTCTCTTTCTCCCTGGCCTCCCTGGCCTCTCTGGTCTCTCTCTCTCTGGCCTCTCTGTCTCATCTCCCTCTGGCCTCTCTCTAACTCTGTCTCCAGTGTTTATCCATCTGAAGTGAAATTATTGAAATGCCATCTGGATGCAGCACCTACTGCCAGCCAGATACAAACATAACCTTTTTTTCCTGCCAAAAACTGAAATTAAGTTTTGAACCCTAAACATTCAATTCATGCACTGTGTCACCGCTAAAAAGGCTTTGGTTAATTTGAAACAAAGACATAGTTACAGGAAAGAAACAATCTGAAATGGTGACATGAAAAAGGGTTTGAGGGTTGGGTCTGTGAGCAGAGAATTACAAGGGATCCAAACCAGCACAGCTAGGAACCCTCTCAACTTTGCAAAAACATTATTCAGTGACTAATAGTTAAATGTGTTAATTAGATCTGTGTCATCTTTTCATATGCACAGAAGAGACACATTTCTTGTTTCCACCAGCGACTGCTTGGCTCTCGGCGACTCTCCTCTCCTACCTGGTTGTGTTTCCGTTACACTCCATTTGACTAGAATCTGGTACAGTGTCCTACCAACAACAAACCAGCATCCATGGAAAAATCTCACTAACTCTGGTCAATCCCTGTCACTTAGAACACTTTAGTACCAGCTCGGCCTAGATAGAATCGGGGCCAGAATTAAGTAGAGTAAAGTAGAGTAGAATAGAGTAGGGTAGTGCAGTGTACCACAACCTCGCATTGCAAAAAATCAAATGGCACATTTGTGAAACTCAGTCTTTATGAACAAAAGTTGTTCTCATCTATGTGTATTATATAGCAAATCAAACAAGCACAAACCTTTGCCAATCTTGTTAATCATGTCACATTATTTTATTTTTTGACGAAGCAGGTGATATTGGACTATTTCTAAAGCCTGGTTCACACGAGACAATTTTAAAATTGTCGGCCGAGATAAAAAATCATGGGTCTAACTTCTTTGGTCGTACAGTGTGTGGTGCACAGCCACACGGCAAAATCACGCAAACCACACACATCACACACAAACCGATTTCTCCCCTGGGCCTTCACAGGTCAGACGGAAATCTCACAAAATCTCTCGAGATCAAGCGTGACTTCAGAGTAAACAATCATGGCGGACGAAGAGGATGCAGTGGTGATAGTTTGTCTTTAGCAGAGACGTAATCAAAAGAAAAGGCGTTGGTCAGAGAAGTGTAGACAACATGAGCATGGACTATACTTGCTACATCGTGATATGGAGGGGAGTTGTTTTTTTAAGGCGTTTCCTCGCCGCCTCGTCTCGTCTTCTGATTGGGCTACACGCGCTCGTCTGTCCCAGAGGGGACACCACACACGAGGAGAAATCGGGCCAAAACCATCCAACATGTTGGATATCCCCGATACGGCAGGAAAATCCATCAGATTTCTTTTTACGATATTCGGAGCGACCTTACAATTGTCGTAGGGGTAAATCGGGTCCAAAATTGGCCTAATTATCCTGCCGTGAGAACCAGGCTTAAGGCATACTAATAAACATCGCAAGGCACACCAACGTACCACGGCACACTGGTTGGAAAACACTAGGATAAAGTAGAGTAGAGTTGGTTTGGTGGAAACACGGCTTATCTCTGTGACAACAGTGGAAAGGTTGACGTGTTAATTGGATTGAAAGAGCGTTGTGTGACTGTGATTTGTGAAATTAATTATATGAAAATAGATTATTACCCATAACTTCCTACCTTCCTGCCTACCTACAACTTCTGAGCAAAACAATGATTAAACCCTCTGTACTTTTGGTGAATCTAAATCCTTTGTACAATCAAACCCTGTTAAAAGTTTTCTTCCTTCACCAAAGGTCAGACTCTCACTTTCAAAACCTGTTATGAGGTCTAAGTTATCCACATATTTGGTGCAGAAGATAGGTGCTCTCTCTGTGAATGTTAATACCAGGCTTGTTAGTGGCAGCGCTGTTAAATTGGCTCCTTTTCCCTTTTTTCTTAAATTACTCCTCAGAATCTCACCTCAGCTGCCAAGGTCTTAGATTCTTCTGAGTAAGTTAACAAGGTCAAAGCGCTGGATTTGACAGAAGTTTGCCTCGTGTTTTATTACTGATATTATAATTATCATCTACAGAAAATGTTCCATAGTCTTCCACCAAACAAATGTGTAATACCAGAGTTATGGTCAGAGAAGTCCACGATGACCAAGATTATTAAAATATCCACAACATCTGACGGTTGTCAAAGGCTGGTTCCAAGTTAGCTGAGGCGTTTTTGTTAAGAACATCATGGAGAGAGAGACCGGAGGGAGAGATATTAGAGAAAGACCAGAGAGAGGCTAGGGAGAGAACAGAGAGAGAGACCAGAAAAAAACCAGAGAGAGACACAAAAGAGAGACCAGAGAGTAAGAGAGACACCAGAGAGAAAGAGACCAGAGAGAGAGACCAGAGGGAGAGAGACCAGAAAGGGACCAGAGAGAGGCAGAGAGAGAGAGAGAGACCAGAGGGAGAGAATCCAGAGAAAGACCAGGGACAGACCAGAGAGAAACTTGAAAGGGACCAGGCATTTACAACATAGAGATGAGCCAAGCCAATGAGCACAGGATATTGATATGAATGGGCAGACATCTTGGAGACCTGGGGCACACATTATGAGTGCTAGGGGTGGACATCTTTGGGATCAGGGGCAGACATTCAGAACACAGCAGTGATGAGACAATGTACAGAATCCATACCAGTCTTTACCCTTGTCAGAAATCTGATGTATGTGTTTCCACTGAGTTCACAGACATCGGTATTAAAGCCTCTAGGAGCATTCTTGTTGTAATTCATCTTTTGTGTTGCTATGGTAACCCCTGACCCCCCTTCTCCATCACAGCATCCATATGTTGTACACTGTTCCCATCTGTATCCTGATGCATTCCCCACGGTGACAGGGTCCAACGCCTTCATCAGAAGTGACAGCTTAACCAGAGAAGGATGCGGCTCACGTGCGCCAGGTCGACCTTGGGGGGACTCGGGCGAGGAGCTCTGAATCAGACAGGGGGAAAAATGTAAAGCAGGAGTTGTGTTTTGGTGTGATAAAAGCATGGGAGATGAATGGGAAGACGGTATTACAGCAGAATTCATAATGTAGACTCTGTAACATACAGCAGAGAACAGAGAACAGACTTATGTGGAATGGAAGAGTCCTGGGTCTGAATCACAGTCGGAACAGGGCCTTACTTTTTTGTGAAACCCCAGATCCAGGAATCCAATTCCATTCAACTTGATTCTAATTCACATTAACAGTTTTCAGGGGGGGACTTTACAAAATTGTCAATACACGGACAACAGATTTGAGGATTAAGTCCATTTTAGATGCAACAGTATGTCCATGAAGTAAGTAAGTAAGTAATCTTTATTTATATACCACCTTTTCACTGCACATCGGAGTCTCAAAGCAGTTTACAATTGTGATTTTGTGTGGGGGTGCCAGTACAGGAGGCACATGCCAGACCTATTGTACATATTTTTAGTGGTAGGGGAAACCGGAGCACCCGGAGGAAACCGTTCGCAGACACGGGGAGAACATGCAAACTCCACTCAGAAAGGCCCTGGTCCAACCGGGATTCGAACCCAGGACCTTCTTGCTGAGAGGCGAGAGTGCTATCCACTCAGCCACCGTGCCGCCCCTGAACTCCAGGAGACTTGAAATAGAGATGGTTCAGCCAAGGTTTCTCTTCATTACTCGTTGCTTTCCCAACAAATAATGCCTGGGCAAAGCCCAGGCATTATTCGTTGTAACTGTCATAAGTCACAATCTCCGGGCGCAAACACGGACAAATCCGTGCCGCTATTGTTCAACATTAAATGCCACCATTTGCACATACAAGGTCCGATTTGCACAAAATTTGAATTGATTGTTCAACTCTTGGGTTTGAGTAAACTGAAAGTGTAAATCATGAAATTGCAGCATTAGCGCCTCCTACAGACTGAGTCAAGTTTTACATGGGGATAAAGAGTTTACCTTTTCAATAGAGACACACAATCACTGATCATAGGAATTCAAAATGCACAATGTCACTCCCGTCAGGGCTGCAGGAAAATGGGAAACCTCCTGTGCGCGGTGCGGCAAGGGCCGTTTGACGCCGCTTGCGGCTTTAATTTATGTTGTTTTCTTTTGTTAATGCTGTAATATACAGTCAATTCTGACAAAAACCACAAACACACAAGGCATATTTCAGGCATTCTTTATTACTTGGTCGCCCTTCCAAGGAGACATGTATGTAGAGAAAGAGTACAGCTCAGCTCAGCCTTGTGTCCAGAACATGTCTGACCTTAGTCAGGCTGCAAAGCAGTATATCCGTAGATAAGACACACCTTCCACAGGAAGAGGAACCAACAGAAAACAAAAGGACTGTGTGACAAGGCCTTCCCCATTAGCATCCTTAAAGGCCGCTCCCCTCCATGTGGGCTCTCTCAGACCTCCTGCACCAAAGTGAATTTTAGCATACAGTATATAATTTAGCCACACATGATTTACCAAAATGATAACTGAAGTTACATTTCAATTACACCTTTCCATTACATCATTGCATTTCTGACATATTTGCCGAAGCTAAAGAGTTCATATTTCTGTTTTGAGAAGAACCTCTGTCTGATTCCTGATCCTGGTTCACAGATTTTAGACACAGAAGACAGACTTGCCTGAGAGGAGAACAAAAAACTATAGAGATGTCTATCATTGGAATAAAACAAAGTCAATATGGTCATTCCATAACGGGTATTTTCCTCGTAAAGAGAGACAACCTTTGGATCTTCAATTTTTGTAATCTCTTATCATTTTTTTTCCTCTGGACAAACTGAATAGGTTTTCATCCAATGGTGCAAACAGAGTTACAGTCGTAGAGCCTTGGCCTTTGCGCCTGAAGATCATGGGTTCAAGCCCACCACGAGACCTAGTTCATGACTCCCACTGATGACTGCTGTCGTTGTGTCCTTGGGCAGGACACTTCACCCCACTTCACCCCCACTGGAAGATCAAGGCTCAGATCAAAATGGACGGATGGATGGTACAAACACAGAAAGCAAAGAGAAACCAGAGAGAGACTCAAGACATTAGCCTGGCCATATCCGTTCACTCCGCTCAATCATCATTTCACTGCATGCAACGGTCTGGGTCTGGTCCCTGTGTTAGCGAATACAATCAGTCGTATTTCGACCGGCTACTCAGAGAGCGCATTGTAGGTCAGTGCCGGTGACGTCAAGAGTTTGTGCTGAACGGGCAGGTTGTAGTTTGGCAGTGGCGAAGAATGCGATAGTAAAGTATTCCAGTCTGGTTCTATCAAGAAATTGAAGCAGGAGCAAGAGGAATGTTTAGCAAATGTAATCGCTGGTCAAGATTGTGGCGCTACTCCCCACGGGCTCCGTTAGCGGCAAAGGAGATGGCTAGGCTAAATGTTAAATGCTAACAACTCACTTGGGCGCATTACATACGTCACGGTACACTCAGATCCAATTGTTTCAATCTGCAAAAGGAGTTAACCCCTCCCACCTGTTCACGGAGCTCAATGGAGCAAATCCAGACCTTAGTATGAAATGAAATTTGTACTAAGGTGTGGTACAACCAGGCTATCAAGACATGTAATCTTCGCACTTTTATATGTATGTGTGATGTATTTGTTACTCTCTCTCTGTTTGCAGCTGTGCAGACGGTGGTGGAGGTGCCAGTAGGAAGTCGTTCGCTCAGAATCAGCGCCAAAGGACCGGGCATCATGAGTGAGTGATCATTTACTCAAGTGCATCCTTCACACTGTGCCCTGGATGCAAACAGACAGAGAGGAGCCGCTGAAGAATCACTTCACAAAACCAACACTAACTCTGATGTTAGCACTGACTACTACACCACACAAGCAGTTTGAGAGATCATTTACTGCATCTAAAACTTCTTTTCAACTCAATGTATTTGTGTATCACCCTAAATCATAAAAGCAGTCGTCTCAGAGGACTTTACTAAAAAAAGATCAGAGAATCAAACAGTTCAAATACAAGAAATGCAATAATAACAAACACATAGGATCCAGTGCCTGCGCATTCCTCAACCTGCAAAGCAGGAAAGATGATTTAGAACCAACCTGGGCAGGCAGCCTCTCCCAAGAGCGCCTGATCCCCAGGAAAGTAAAGCAGACTGCAGAAGGGTCTAGGCCTCTCCCAAGAGCGCCAAACCCCCAGTCAACCTATCCTCACTGCAGAGGTGTCCAGGCCGCCTCTCCCAAGGGCACCCACATCTCTCCACACAACCCTCCACCTGCAGACCGGTCCCTACCGAGGTCTGTCAAAGGAAAAACTAGGGCCGCCCTGCACTCAAAACCTAATGAGCCACAGAGTCAGAGGCGACATCCAGTAGGTAAAACTGCACAAAGGTCGAGGAGGAGGACCAAGACGCCGCTCTACAGAACTCCTCCACCGAAGTGCCAGGGAACAATGCCATCGAAGCGGCAACCCCGCGAGTGGAGTGAGCCCACAACTGGGCCGGAGGCGGCAAGCTCCGCGCTTCATACGCCAAACGGATAGCAAGGCAAAGCCAGTGGGCCAAGCCCTGTGGAGACAAAGTGGCACCCTGACTCCTGGTGCCAAACCCCACAGACAACTGATCTGACCGTCTGAGGTCAGACATGCGGTCCAAATAGCATCTCACAGCCCTGACCGGGCAGAGACTATGCCGCAGCTCTTCCTCCGCCGAAGCATGCGGAGGAGGGAAAAACGGTCTCACCCTGATCACCCTAGATCTGAAAGATGACGTGACGACCTAGGGCTGGAAGGCCGGGTTAGGCCACAACTCCATCATGCCCTTTCCACCTTTCAGCATCCAAACCCTGAGCCTGCGTCCCAGGACAGAGCAGAGCATCGGGACGGTCCGGAACAAGCAAAGGCGGACCGAGCGTCATGCCCACCACGTCCGGATGCCACCTGGCTCCCAGGCTGTCCGGCGCCACCACCAGGATGGAGACCCCCTCCGTCCTCACCTTGTAAAGCAGGGCCGCCAAGAGCCGGAGAGTTGGGAAGGCGTAGAGGAGACCGTTGGGCCACGGCCGGTGCGCCATGGCGTCCACCCCAAGAGGGGGCTCGTCGCTGGACCTGAGCAAGAACCAGAGTGGGCACTGTGCGTTCTCTGCATTTGCGAAAAGGTCGGCCACCGGTGTCCCGAACCGGAGCCAGACCTCTGACACAACCGCTGGGGTGAGACCCCACTCGTCCCGCAAGGCCCCGCCCCTCGTCATCCTGTCGGCAGGCACGTTGTGCTCGCCTGGGGTGTGACGGGCCCTCAGAGAGGCTAGGTGAATGTCCGCCCACAGAAGAACCTCCACTGTCAGCCTGTGAAGGGCGGGGGACCTGGTCCCCCCCTGCCTGTTCAGGTAAGCTGCCAGAGTGGTGTTGTCCGTCCGATCACATGTTGGCCTTCGCAAATGTAAGAACCTGTGATGCATTTGCAGAACACCTGTCCAGCCTAGAGATGGCAGTTTACCCCGCTCCGAGGGAGCTGCTAGCCCTGACCACGGAGGGGAGGCTGGCAGGGACTGAGCGAGGCTGGGGATTCGGCTGTCAGAGATCTATACCAGTCGCAGCTGGCATAGTGGAGCAGAGGCTCCAGGAAAGAGGGTCAAGGAGTCTCAGTAGAAAGCCCTCACCGAATCCACGTCACCGTAGTCAGTCCTCAATCGCGTTCCAGAGTCTGACGCGTTCGTAGTACCAGGCGAAGCAGCAACGTATAGGCAGAGGGTGGCACACCATGAGCGAGCCCACCCTGGGCATCACTCTAGATGGCAGTCATCAACCCTTAGCGTCTATTGCGCTCCTCCCCGGGGAGTAATTTCACTGGCCACACAACTGTGGTTGACCCCCGCTGCATGACGCCGACCCATGGCAGAAGAGAGTGCCACAGGCACGAGTTGCAGATCCGCAGCCTGATACCGGAGGGTGACAAAATTTCAGGCGCGGAGGAGTCTTGATTGAAGACATCCTGAAGAGTGAATCAAAGCTTCTCTTAAGGCAAGCTGAGAGAGTAAGGAGAAGTTTTTATCATAATTTATCATACAGCTCCTCACGGCAGCAATAGACTGCTCCATTGATTTGAATGTAATTAAAAAATGTTCTACCGATCATTGTATCTTGATAACAGAACTCTCAAACCAATAATGGCCGCTGCACTTTGGCAACGCACTCTGTGCTTTTACTTCAGGTGTGTAAAATACTAAGATTACTCCAGACAGTAGTTCACACACTTCGTTGCAACGGGCTTCCCCGTCACTTAGTACTTCTGTCTGTGTGAGAAGCTAACGAAGCTAGCCACGGTCAATAACACAAATAGCAATCAGTCAGCACATTTAAATGTTAATCGGAGAATACTTTATACATATACATTCTTTACACACGTGCATGGAGGTTTTCTGAATTATCTGTTTACGTTTTCATGACAAAAATGCTGTTTTAATGCGTCAAAAAGCGTCCGCAGTAGACCCGGAAGTAACTATTGACATTAGTAGAGCATTTTAGGACACATTTGCAGAGGATCTGATTATGGATTTAGGTTGAGGTTATATTTCGGTCACTCACCGCAGATGTTCAGAATTCTTTGTTCACTTTTCATGTAGTCAGAGAATTCTAGTTTGTTAGCTAGCCTAGGTGTCACCCGTCTGGCCACGTCAGGACGAAACCTTTGGAAACTTACTATTTTATACATATAATTTAAAAACGATAATGACCATTACAGCTTTGAATATTAAGGGCTGTCTAATATTTGTTCGAATATATGTATATATATTTACTATTCTAATTATATATGAGCACGAGCGCGATGATTGACAGCTCTTGGTGTCACTTGACTGGTTAAAGTGGACGGCATTGTGGATTTTGCGCCATAGCTAAGATAAGGGAAGGCGGGACTTACCCATTATAATAAATGTACTTATTTTATATCAACATTTAAGCCCAGGAGGTCAACTTAATACAATTCTTATTTTTTTTAAATTCATTTAGAGTTACAGATTATCACTTTAAAGAAAATAACTTCCCTCTCCACTTTTTTTAATTGACATTATTGTTGTATTGGCACTAAAAAAAACCAGCTCTTAAGTCCTCCAGGAGAAGTTGTCCTGACCTCTCCACATCTGGAGCTGGTCCATGGGTGCCGCTGCTGACTGGAGAACCATGTAACATCAAACATGTGTCAAACGCAGAGGACACAGTTTCTTATGAAGCTCCAGTTGACCTCCTCCTACAGTTTTGTAACTTGTCTGCAGAACAGTCTGCCTGGTTGTCTCGTGAACATAGAGTATTATGTTCATTCTTCCACATGGTGTTCTCATTCACTCACTGAATAATAAACAATGAATCAAAATGTATTGGTACAGTTTGCACCTGAAGTCACACAAAAAACACACTGTTTTAATTATATAATCACTTGTATAGCATGACAGTTACCTTTGATTAAAGTCAGAAAACGTTTATGTCTCTCGCTGGTCTTTCTAAGGTCTTGCTCTCTGGGGTCCCTCTGCTCTCTCTCAGGTCTTGCTCTGGTATCTCCCTGGTCTCAGCTGGTGTCTCTCTCTGGTATCTCTGGTCTCTCTCTGCCCTCTCTCTGCTCTCTCTCTGCTCTCTCTCTCAGGTCTCTCTGGCCTATCTCTGGTCTATCTGGTTTCTCTCTGGTGTCTCTCTCTGGTGTCTCTCTCTAGTCTCTCTCTGGTCTCTCTCTGGTCTCTCTCTGGTTTTTCTCTCTGGTCTCTCTCTGGTCTCACTCTGGTCTCTGGGTTCAGGGTCCAATGCATTGCTTCTCCAAATCAAACTCACAGATATTTTCCCAACCACACAAAGGCTGAAATAATACTTTTTTGAAAAAACATAGTTTAAATTACATTTCCCTGTCAAACTCATTCACACAGGGAGGTAAAGGGAAAACCTCATGACTGTTTAAACCGTAAAAACAACTTCCTCATCTACATCCAGACGCTTTCCCAGAGAACCGGAGCAGAGTATAACCCACATGATTTATGCTGGGGGCCCCTTGAGGCTGGGGTTTGTCATTGGGGTTTTTTCTGCGCCCACATTAGCTCTTAGTGCAGACAAGTCAACATGGCTCACCTGCTAATACACTTTGCTCTTGACAGCTCTGAGAACGCCATTCACTGCATTTCTAAGTTCATATGGAGCTGCAGTCAATTACTAAAGCAGGTCCATGTAAGTGGTGAGGTTCAGGCAGAAAGCAGAAATGTGTCACTGAAATTAAAATAAACACTGAAGTATTCCAAACATCTTTGAGACAATGCATTAAAGACAATACAAACATTTGCCTCTGGTCCAGCACTACTCCTGAGTCTTGGTTCTACACCCTGAGTCCTGGGTCTACAGCCTCAGTCCTTGATCTACACAGCCTCAGTCCTCGATCTACAGCCTCAGTTCTGGATCTACAGCCTCAGTGCTGGATCTACAGCCTCAGTCCTGGATCTACAGCCTCAGTCCTGGATCTACAGCCTCAGTCCTGGATCTACAACCTCAGTTCTGGATCTACAGCCTCAGTCCTGGATCTACAGCCTCAGTGCTGGATCTACAGCCTCAGTCCTGGATATACAGCCTCAGTTCTAGATCTACAGCCTCAGTCCTGGATCTACAGCCTCAGTCCTGGATTCTCAGGTTGAATCCTGGATCCACAGCTTGTCAATCTTTGGGAGCAGATCCCTCTCTCAATGTGAGCCTTTTCAAGTTTTCTCATAAATGCAAGGGGTCAGTGATGATCTAGGACATTTCTGTACAGTCCTGGACAGTAGTCATACTGCTCCCTATGGACCAATGGCTACTTTTATCATTGCATCTGCATGAAGAGGAGCCAGTTGCGTCATCTGTCTAAGATGACGCAGGACACACTCTCTTTCAGCTGGCCTGGGAAAACCTCATATAATCAATAGAGCTTTCTTACACCTTCATTTTATATTATTTTTTAACAGACCTTCCCTCAGTATGCAATTGTGAGCATAAATGCCTAATATCTCTGTGATGATTTCCGCCATATTTCCGGTATATTTTCCACATAATTCCATCTCTTGTGTGTCTATGAAACCTGTTTACATAGTCACACCTTGATAGCATCTTTAATTATTGGTTGAGAAGCCTGTTAGGATATTAAACCATGGTGAACATACAACATGGTGTCATGTATATCTTGTTCATGCAGAGGTTCATCTCTTGAATTTCCCTCAGTGATGGGATGTGATTAAGAAGCACACACTGCACAGGTCTTTCCACAAGTTCAGGGACAGAACAGTACAAATAACATTGAATCCATCACAGAATCAGCAGTCGTCAAATCAGACTTGGGAGTAAGTGATGAAACTGCTCCTCCCACATCCACTGCCCCAGTGCCCTTTAAATATTAATGCCTTTATTTGGCACTAAATAATACATAATGCAGGTATTAATCATTGCCTTCATTCTTTTGTCTATATTGTAATTTGTGGTTTCGAAAAAGGCCAGTCAGACTATGATTAGAGTTGGTTGCAATTATTTTGTAGAGATCTATGGGTTCTGGGTTCGATTCAACATCCAGACAGATCCTAGTGGCTTTGGAGGATGACGTAAAGAGAGAGAAAGACCAGAGAGAGATCAGAGACCAGAACAAGAGACCTGCGAGGCGTCTGTCATATCTTTAGCTCAGCAGAAAGGGTAAAAAAGATGAGCACTCTCATTCAGCTAATCAGCTCTCAACGTAAAATATACAGTATTGACTTCCAGGGCTCTTCCTTACACAAATTATTTCATCTGTTCTTTTGTGGTCTGATTTGTTCCCTTTGTCACTCTTTCTGTTGTGACAAACTGGTAATAGCAATGAAGGAGGAAAGGTCAGAAAATGAGGCTGTAGTGACCTGAAAGTGTGTCTCCTGGTGCCTCTGTGCAGTGATCGAGTCGGTCTCTGTCTTGGGAAGGAGGGAGGAGACCGCCCTGGTGTCCTCTGGCTCCTTCACTTTGGGAAACACTTCGGTGGACTTCCACAGAGTGTCCGACAAACAGACTTTGAAGGCGCTCCAGCCTCTCGGCGCAGACTACATCATTAAGGTGAGTTCATGGACCTCAGAGGAAAAGCAAGAGAGACCACAGAGAGACCAGTGAAAGACCAGAGAGTCACCAGAGAGAGACCGAAAAGAGGCTAGAGAGAGACCAGAGGGAACAATGAGGGAACAAAGAGATGCCAGAGAGATAGAGACCTGAGAGAGCTTTCATCTCCCTGTGTTTGCCATTTATTATGAATTAAGCAGAAACGGAGCCTGAATAAGAACACTAACATTTATTTCAAATGAGGCATGTGTTTCGCCTGTAGCTCTCTAACTGTTCTGCAGAAGTTGTTTCTCAGAGCTGTTTATAATAAGAGACAGCTTTGTCCAATAAATGGCCTTGATTTGAATTACAGAACTAAAGCATCACATATGAATGAACCCTTAAATTATACATAACTATTTAAGACACGTTTGCTTCCAATTGGATTTCAAAGAGGAGCAAAATTGAGCGTATGTATTCTGTACTACTGCTGTGAAATGAACTGAGCTGGACTTACCTCATCCATCTTTCATGACTTGACTTATGGGCGTGTGATGCATCTCCTCCTCTCACTCCAGCTCCATGGTCCTGTCCTCTCTTACTCAACACATACAACATCCAGCACAATCCCTCTCCCTAAAAACAGTTGTTTATAGGAATGCAAATAGTGTGCTCCTCATTCCGACAGTTCTCTGACTCTCAGTGGTGGAACACTGAGATTCTTCCACTGTGGAACCAAATAATTCTTTTCAATTGAATGTATTTGTGTATTGCCCTAAATCACAGCAGCAGTCGCCTGAGAGGACAACAACAGATTCAAACACAGAAAAGCAAAAATATAATAATAAACACATTGGAGTCATTAGTCCATAGGGACCACAGTCCAGAAATGTTAATTAATGTGCAGAAATGTCTCGGATCATCACAATCCTTAGATCCTTCTGTATCGGCAAGGAACTAAGGCCTGAGGCTCAATTCCTTGCCCGTGAAGGAATCTGTGGGATTTTCTGAGGCTGCCCTTGTCTAATTATGTCTTTGTTTTCTCAAGATGAAGTTCGGTGGCCCGAAGGACACAACGGTGCAGTTCCTATTTTATCAGCCAATCAGTTTCCATTGGAGAGAGACCGACTTCTTCCCCTGCTCTGTGACCTGTGGAGGAGGTCAGCACTGCTGTAGCATTTTGCAGACGATACATACTGCACTAATGGACCTCTAAACCAGTTATAACCTTAGATGTTCCATGTTACTTATTAACACCCATTTTGGTCTGGGGGCCACATACGACCTAATTGAATCTGAACTGGGCCGGACCAGAATATTATTTGCACAAAACCCCAAAACAGTAGAAAGTCCAACATTTTGTGCAGATTAAAACATTTATTTAAAACTTCCTTTAAAATACTTTAAACCTTTAATACACACTAAGTTTTAACAGTAAATCTGCTACTAATTTAAATATAACAGTGAGTTTTTCATTGTGCAAATAATGTAAGTATTTACAATATTACATTGTAAATGGCATTTCACAATATTTATATTAGGACCCATATTACGCTATCTGACTTTTCTCTGCTTTAAACATGATTACAGTGCTATTTGGCCTTCATACACATGCCCGGAGTAGTTTCTTCATAGTTAGAGAGCAGTCTTTCTCTTTCACCCTCGAGAGGCAGTAAAACGCCCGGATCCACGTCTGTGACGATTTCCACATTGATGACGCATATGACGCGCAGAAGCCTATTTTTTTTGTTTTTAAAATGGTTCTCAAATACTGTAATCAAAACAGGGATACACAATACACAAGAAATATGCTGTTTGTTGTCAAAATAAAATAATAAAATAATAATGAAAATAATAATAATACCAAAATCCAGGAGGTGACTGACAAATCAAAACAGAAAATCACGGCTCCCGAGTCCAGCTCTCAAGTCCAGCTCCTGAGGCCTATAATCTCGCAAGTTTTGAGTGTGGTTTGGTGTATCACTCAAATAATTATCATACATGAGCAAAGGATGGACTGTGAAACATGAAGAAAAGCGTAATATGGAACCTTTAATATTTCTGTGTTAGCTTTGATTGCAGCATTGTTTTGTTAAGGCTCATTACAGAGAAAACTTGCTGACAAAGGTACAGTAGCTTTAACACAGCACCTCAGCTTAACCATCTTACTTTAGTGTGGTGTAGAAGTTTATGGTTATGTTATTGTCACAGAAAAGGCATCAAACTGACCATGATTCAGTTGAAAATATTTAAGAAAAACTTCAATAACATGATCCATTCAAAGTTAAATCAATGCCAAGAAAGAACCTATGACATCTGTAACATTGGTGCGCTCTTCAGTGGCAACAGAAAATGCCACACATGACTTCAATTTGCGTTTAGATTGAATTTCGATTTCTGCAACTAGTTCAAAAATACTTTCTGCTGCATCTGGACAGGCTGATGTTGGTAAAAGCGTGTCTTTTCTCAGGTCCATGGGCAAGACACTTAAAACAGTAACAATCTGGAGGGACTCAAACAGACAAATCCTATCCTATCTAGTCCAGGTTCTTTATATAGCACATTTTATAAAACAAGTTTCCAAAGTGCTGCACAAAGTGACACATTTAAATATACAGGTTTGCCAGCTTTACTGTTTATGTAACACAAATATAAAAGGTAAAACAATTATGATGTATAAAGTAAAAAAAATAATATTAAAAAGCTAAAAATTCCAGTATCCCATACCAAAAAGCCATCCATCCATTCATTTTCTTCCCCTAATCCATTTCTGGGTCGGGGGGGGGGGCAGTCAGAGCTGCACCCAGTACACAGAGCACCAGCCCCTCACTGATCCTCCTGCAGGTGGTGGGTCCACAGCGGGGGCTTCAGGCAAAGTGGGGTTAAGTGTCTTGCCCAAGGACACAACGACAGCAGTCATCAGTGGGAGTCATGAAGTAGGTCTTGTGGTGGTTTCGAACCCACGACCTTCAGGCTCTAAGGCCAATGCTCTAACCACTGAGCCACTGTCGCCCCTTAAAAGCCAGAGTAAGAGTTAGAAGCCAGAGTAAGAAACTTAAAACATTCCAACAAAGAGCTGTTTTGACGTGGGGGGGCAGAGCCTTCCACAGCTTTGGTCCAGCCACAGAGAAGACCCTGTCCTCCCCAGTTTTAAGTCTGGTCTTTGGCACCACGAGCTGGAGCTCAGCATACGGGGTGGGTGTTATTCAATCTGAAGAGACCAAAGACAGACAATCAATACATTAAAATGATTTATTTATTTGGCGCATTGACCCCGGCAGTGACACTTGCAGCGAGATCATTTGCTGCTGAAGATGATCTCAGATCCCATGCATGGTGTGAATGGGGCGTAGGCGGAGCAGGAGCCAGAGCAGGAGCCAGAGCAGGAGCCAGAGCAGGAGCCAGAGCAGGAGCCAGAGCAAGAGCCGGAGCAGGAGCCAGAGCAGGAGCCAGGGCAGGAGCCTGGAGCTGGAGGAGGATAGGTGTTAAGAGCTTCAGGAAGCGCTGCTTGTCAGGAAGTGGCTGCCTTTTAAACTGCCCGCCAGAGGATTGGCAAGAGGCTGGCCGGGCTGAGTGATTGGCAGAGGCTCGAGGCTGGCAGTGCTGTGTGATTGGTTGGCCTGGAAGGTGGGAGTTGCACCCGGTTTTTCAGTCTGAATTTGCGCTTAAGCTTCATATTTGGATGAGGTCCAAGATGTAATGTGGGGCCGTTCATCAAAGCTTTAAAAACAAACAATGAGCTCTTAATATAAATTCTAAAACTAACAGAAAGCCAGTGCAAAGAAGCTAAAAGTTAAGTAATGTGCTCACGTTTTCTGGTTCTTGTTTAAAGTCGTGCCGCAGAGTTCTGGACTAATTGTAAGCGTGAAAGCGCATGTTGTTAAAAAGGTTTAAACTTAGATAAAAGATGAAGGTACACTCACGATTGTGTGTCCTCCTCTGACTCAAACTTGATCATCAAATATGCTGATGACACCACCATCATCGGTCTCATCAGTGACAATGATGAATCCTCTTATAGAGCAGAGATACAAAATGTGGTTCAGTGGAGTAAAACTAACAACCTCCAGTTGAACGCATCAAAAACATGTGAACTGGTCTACGACTTCACTCGTAACAGTTCTCATTTGCCTGTCGTAATCGACAACTCCCAGGTGCAGATCGTAGAGGAGTCCAAGTTTCTGGGTTTAACTCTGTCTAACGACCTGAAATGGGTTAAAAACACTGACCGTTAAGAAAGCTTGTCAGCGTCTCTACACTGCATGAAAAGTGTGATTTTCGTCTCTTTTCGGCCCTGTATATTACTGTGAAACTTCTGGGATTCGGCTGTTGACGGTAGTTTGTTGTCCCCTCCTCCCTCCTCCACAGGAGGCTTTAACATGTAAATAGGAATGCTGGGAGCTATACAAATGCAAATCAGGGTTGAGGGGGAGCACAACTTTGCGCGATGCTGCACAACTACTTTCAGTAGTTACTATACTAGGGCTGTCAAACGATTAATTTTTTTGTTGTTGATTATTGGCATAGTAATGGTGAGTTAACTCACGATTAATCGCATGTTTAACATTCTATTTCAAATCCACTCCAATTGAAGTTAAATGAGATTATCAAATATAATTACCAGTGTTGGGTAAGTTACTTTGAAAAAGTAATTAGTTATAGTTACTAGTTACTTCTTCCAAAAAGTAAGTGACTTACTAACTGAGTTACTCCACTATAAAAGTAACTAGTTAGCAGTAAAAGTAACTATTGCGTTACTTTTTCGTTTGTCGTGGTACCGAGCTTTAGCTGGCTGTAATTTAGGATAACTTCTAAGTAGATTAATTGTTGCAACAACCCCACCCTATTTTAGTATGATATGTTAGTTTAGGGAACTGTCCTGCAGGCAAACAGGTATAAGACAGGCCAAGGTGCCATTTAATTAAATTGCATTTATTTTTATCCATTGATCAAACAAACAGATTACAAAACTTGCAATTGAAAGAGACTATTTTAAAATAATTAGTTCCCAAAGACACACACGAGCAACACTCACGCCTGACAGTCAAGAACCAGGGAGAATACAGTGCGCAGAGCGCGCCTGACAGACAAGAACCAGGAAAAATACAGTGCGCAGAGCGCTGAGTATGTGAACGGAGCAATCGCTTGCTGCTGTTATTATAATAGCTAGATCCATGCTTGCAGCCCGTGCAAAGCTTGCACTCACTCACAGCCGCTAACAACAACCAGAGCGGCCACGGAGGAGGCCATCTCACACGCAGCATTCTGAGTGATATTCTTATGGATAAATGGGCGGGTCATTCGGACATGCGTTAATGCGTTAAAAACAGCCCTAATATATATACATATATACACACAAACGGTTGTTGGTGTTATCATCACTCTCTTTACACAACCAAAACTTGGGGACTTCACAAACTGAATGCGCATTTCGCGCATGCGCAAAAAGCAAGGAAATACTTTGCCTGAAGTCGACGGTGGAGTCTCGTGGAACGTGAAGAGAGGACTCTTTTGAATGTACGTAAGTAAGTGTTAAGACTCGTTGTTCATTGTTATAAAGGTATAAAGCTAAAGAAGTGTGTTAAGAACGTGTATACATTCGACTATATTATCTTATAAAACTCGTGTGTTCGACCAGCTCAGCGGTGAATGCAGTGACTGTGGCCGTGTTCAGAGCCGCTCTCCCGGAGGCCTGAGAGAGCTCTGTATGGTGTATGTGGTGAATGTAGCTGTTAGTAGCTAACTGTAGCCGTGTTCAGAGCCATATTCCCGGCCCTAACTACGCGGGCCACCGCCGCAAGGAATCCCCGCTGTGATTGCTCCGTGTGTGATAACTTTCTGTGAAGCATGGAGCTGCAGGAGCAGGGACGAGGCGCTCAGAGCAGACTGCTTCGAAAGAACCGAAGGAAAAGCAGTTTGGGCTCATGGCAAAGCCTGATATACAGGAGACTGTGGACTAGAGTTCTGTGGAATATCTAACATATATCATTTGTTTTGCACTGTTCCTGTCTTTGTTTGAGCAGTAAGACTTTCACTTTTATTTTTGTACTTTTTCATCTCATTTGTCACTTTTGTCTTTCTGTTCATTTTTTTTGTTTTGTTTATTAAGTCCATTGCTTAATAATGTTATTGAGTGAATCTAGACCTCCTTTAAACACATTTGAGCAAAAATCATGTGATATTTTTTTATATATATATTGATTATTCTTTTTTTTGCTTACAGTTGCAGTCCGACAACAAGAAATAGTCAATTCTGCCCTACCTGTGGAAAATGTCAAAGCACGCTGGCCAGCACTTTATACAGAGAGACAGGTGTGTACACATTTTTTACATCTATGCATTTAACTTGAAGTGTTTTATGGTTTTTTTTGCAGGTCCTGGCAGAATTTAACCAGATCACCAGCTCCAAACTGGGCAATGATTTTGTTGAAGCATTGGATTTCCTAACGACACAGTTCATAAAGCTCTTTAAGACCAAAAGGGGGTCTGCTGGCACTAAGCTTTCCAAGATTGTCCGGCACCTCGATTCCTGTGTAAGTTCATAAAGCAATAACAAAAAGAAATGACATATGATTGTTTTTGGTGTTGAAATGCACATATGTGCAGCAGAGGAGATGGGGAAAGGAGAAAGGTAAGTACATCCCCCTCCATTTGTCTTGTCTGTCAGTACAGTGTTTTACTCCTATGTACAATTATGAAAAAGACACAACAAGCAGTGACACTTGTAGGTGATAACTTACTCAGTACTGCTTTAACAACCTTAACCTCCACCTGAAAAAGACATTCAAATAATACAGGGAAACGGTACAAGAAAGAAAGTGACAAAAATGAAACTAAAACTTGAAGCTTGAAATACACTTCGTTAAGGCGGGTTTATTCTGTCCAGTAGTGTGAATGACATGTAATATATTAAAGGACCGTGACTTTGCCCGGTCACAACACACTTGAAGGTAACTCTACATCTCTCAATATAACGAGTTAACTAGGGTTTGGGAATAAAGACATTTTACTTTTGTGCACAAATAACATGCATTGTTAATGCATGGAGGAAAAATGTGGGTATCCGAGCTTTAAATTCAGGAGTTTTGCTTCAGGAGTAGACACAGGAGACTCACATTTATTTCACATTCAAAATCATGAAATTACAAAGTATTATAAGTAATGCATCATATTTAGATGTTTTATTTTTTTAACAGATCTTTCTCAAATGGAAATGGACACCATCACTTTCAATTGACCTCAACCCATAGTCTCCTCCTAAAGGAGAATCCTCTGTGGCAGTTACAAGGAGATCCAATCAGGACATGTGTGAGGCGGACACAGCAAAAGAGGTACTGCTGCATTTTGTATCCTAAGATTTTTGGTACAATTGTAGATTGTCATTTTACATTTTTCACGTGTTTGTAGATGGTGGAACTGCAGGAAAACCCTGGTGACCGAGAGATCCTTAAAGATTATAATTCTGTGAGATCACTAAGTCACCGCTCTCGAAGACAACTTGTCGACCTTCTCGTCAGTGACATGAGTGAAACACATGGGTATGTTGTATCCCTCAGTTATTACTCTAAAGTTCCTTCTTACAAGTGGAAGGATATTTACTCAAAATAAAATGAAAATCACTTGAAAGACCTTTCACAATAATCACGTAACAATTCAGTTTCTCTCTGCACTGTTATTGATTCCCCATTGTAATAAATAGTACTTATCTCTTTTTATAAATGACCTAGGTAGATTTTCTCCTGTAGATTATCTCTTGGTTAGGTCCCCGTGAAAATATGTACTTGTAGAAACTATTAATTTAGCCTTTTTATGTAACCATGAAGTCCCTTGACCATGACTGTTTTTCTTTCCTTAGACAAATGCCTTCCCGAAAACAAAAAGAAAGCTATGCTCTTAGAATTATCACACTTTTTTCATTGAAGGATCCATTTTCTCAAAAAGGTTATGTAAGTATTGTTAATGTATCCATGGAAATTTAATTTGGTTTACCTACACGTTTTGTGTTGGTAATGGATATGTATAGATACCAATCATAACTGTAGACTTTGTTTTCAGACTAATCTAGCCTCGTAATGAGACGGTGACCAATATCTGCAAGTCCACATTTCCACGATGTTGATAAAGACGACATTGTGTGTAAGTGTTTTACTGTTTCTCCTTCCTTGTTTGACGTTACTGTGACTTGCGTTTGATTTTTATTCATACCACTTTTTGATTGTTTTCTAGCGGCCTGTAAGACTTATTATGAGACGGTTCGCAGGAGCCATCAAAATGCCAAGCCAGAAAACTCATTGCGGGCGGACGTTGCGAAGAGTTCAGCTCGGAGTCGAGCGAGAAGAGGGTAAGACTAAACTGCATCGCACAGTAAGGCAAGGGAGGTTTATTTGTGTAGCACAATTCATACACAAGGCAACTCAAAGTGCTGAACAAAAGAAAGCATTAAATAATCACAGTACATCAACAAAGATAAATATAAAATCCCTCAGTTGTAGCACAGCTAAAGTGAGAGCTCCTCTCTGACAATGTTTAAAACCAGGTTAAAAACAGTTTACCTCAGTTGTAGCACAGCGAAACCAAACTGTTTTTGACCTGGTTTTAAACATTGTCAGAGAGGAGCTGTCACTTTAGCTGTGCTACAACTGAGGCATTTTATATTTATCTTTGTTAATGTACTGTGATTATTTATGTTAATGCTTTATTTTGCTCAGCACTTTGAGTTGCCTTGTGTATGAATTGTGCTAGACAAATAAACTTGCCTTGCCATCGTACTTCCTGGTTCTGGTCAGGACTTGAGCTGCTGCATTTTGAATGTACTGCAGCTGTTGTTACAGTAGTCTAACCTACTGGAGACAAATGCATGGATAAGAATCTCCAGGTCTGCTTAAGGCACTATGTTTTTGATCCAGGCAATGTTTAGAATGGAAAAAGGATTTGATGTGGCTAATAATATTTACTGATTCTTTCAGCCGCTGGAATCGAGACTGAGTGTGCAAGAAAGTGACAAAGTGGAACTCCGGAAGTCCGCCACGGTAGACCTAATGTCCAATGAAGAAGAAGGCGTTGTGGACAGTGTCTCTGGGTGGATTGTGCGGTCGCCGTCTTTTCGAAAGCCGGAGTTTTCTGAACTCTGTCAAGCTGCAGTCCTGGTTAGAGGTGGCGCGGAAGTACAGAGCCACGCACATTAAGCGTCTATCTAGAACCCTGCCAAATTACAACCCCGAGGAGGCGATTGGACAGTTCAGAGTTGTAATTTTTTAATTACCTATGTGTGGGCATAAAGCTGTGTGTGTGTGTGTTTTAATAAAGCTTTCTTTGTATGAACATATTCCTGGAAAATTTTCATTTCTTCTATAAATAATACGAATATTTATATAAATATTATTACATTAATTATGAGGCAGGGTGACCAATAGTGACAGATCTGCCAGCCAATCACGAGAGATAATACTTATTTGAAAGTAGTGATTTCATCCAATGGGGAGTAAGCTACCAATGGGGAGTAATCCCACGTGGGCTGGCCACGTGTGATTTTTCAGCCAATCACGAGTTTGAAAGTAGTGGTATCCGCCAATGCTGAATAGCAGCCTGGCCAGCCGCTGCATTTATATGCTAATTAGGGCCATTAGCGCTCGGCGGCCGCAGTGTTTCGCTGCATTCATATGCAAAGTAGGGACATTAGCATGGTACGGATACGGCAGTTTGGAGGACAGGGCACCCTAACTGCGGGTTTTGAAAACTGCCTGAGATACCCGAAAAAGAGCGTGATTTCCTGCCGTTTAGGGTGACGAAAATCTAACTTTTCATGCAGTGTACTTTCTGCGTAAACTTAGAGAATTTACCACTAACTCTAATATTCTGCTTAACTTTTATCGCTGCACCATTGAGAGTTTACTTGTTGGTTCTGTGTCTTTGTGGTTTGGAAACATCACAGATAAAGAAAAGAGAGCTTTAAACAAGGTGCTCCGCTCTGCAAAGAGGACCGTGGGCTGTGAGCTTCCTGTTCTGGAGGTTCTTTATAAATCCAGACTTTTAAACAAAGCTCTTAGGATTGTCAATGACTCTTCTGGCCACCCTGGGAAAGCCATGTTCCAGCTTCTTCCCTCTGGCAGAAGATATCGCTCTCTGAGATGCAGGACATCTCGTTACGCTGACAGTTTTTATCCTCAAGCTGTTATCAGTGTGAACAGAGCACTTTAATGATTTGAAACTGTTTTAGTCGATCGATTTCACAGTGACATTTGCTTACTCTTTTATTTGTTTTATTTCTGTCTTTTAATGTTGATTTATGTCTGTATTTGTCTGTGCACACTAGAGACTTTTTGCTAATGTATTCCAATGTGGTTTTTTTTACTGCAAATGGCAAATAAATTGAATCTGAATCTGAAGGTGATAAAAGTCTGATTTAACGACTGTGCTGATCTGTTTGTCAAGTTTAAAATCACTGTCCATGGTGATGCCAAGGTTGGTGGTAAAGGATTGGACAGTATCCCTGATGGTGCCCAGATCCAATAGGGGATCTGGGCACCATCAGATCCCCTATAGTCTGCTCATCCTAACAGACAGTGCTGGGGATTTCAATAAATGTAATTTAAAGACTGCACTCCCGAACTTTTACCAACATGTGACTCAAGCTACAAGAGGAGCACATGTTCTGGATCACTGCTACAGTAACGTGAAGGGAGCTTACAGGTCCAGTCTCAGACCTCCTTTTGGAAAGTCTGACCACTCCTCTGTTCTCCTTCTTCCTTCGTATACTCAGAGGAGCAGGGAACATAAACCAACCTCTCGCACTGTGCAGTGTTGGTCTGAGGAGGCTAGCATGAAGCTACAAGGTTGTTTTGATGCTACGGACTGGTCTGTGTTTCAGTCAGAGGACGTCAATGAATTCTGTGACGCTGTGTCTGGATACATACGCTTCTGTATTGACTGCCGTGTCCCACAGAAGGTCATTAAAGAACATTTTAGTCAAAACCCTTGGATGAACGCGGAATTGAAACTGAAACTTCATGAGCGTGCGTTGGCGTTTCAATCAAATGATACAGTTGCTTATAAGCTATCCTGTTACTCATTGAAACGCTCTATTAAATCTGAAAAGCGCAGTTACGGGGACAGGTTAAAGAGTTATTTTGAGGAAGATGACCCTCGGCGCATGTGGAACGGTATTAAAGCCATCACATCGTGGAAACCTAGCGCTGGGAAAATTGCATCAGTCAGCCAAGCTCTGCCAAACGAGCTGAACACGTTCTGCTGTCGCTTTGAATCCGCTGATGCCTGTCCTACTGTATTCCCTGAGTGTTTCAATCAAGGTACCTTCACCGTGACTCAGGAGAAAGTCAGGCGTGTCTTGTCCAGGACCATAGTCCGGAAAGCCCCAGGCCCGGACGGCATCCCTCCTCGTGTCCTGAAACTGTGCTCTGAGCAACTTGCCCCAGTGCTAACAGACATTTTCAACCTGTCGCTAAAGAACTGTACTGTGCCGAACTGCTTTAAAGAGTCGACCATCATTCCAGTTCCTAAGAAAACTCCTGTGACATGCCTGAATGACTATCGTCCTGTGGCCCTCACGTCTGTTCTTATGAAAACTTTTGAGCGGCTTGTGCTGGACTTCATTAAGAGCCAGATCCCTGTGAGCGTTGACCCGCTCCAGTTTGCTTACAGACAGAACAGGAGTGTGGAGGATGCCATCTCCTTTGCTCTGAACTCTGTCTACAGTCACTTGGACACTAGTAAATCTGTCGCGAGAATGCTTTTCATCGATTATAGCTCTGCTTTTAACTGCCTTGTCCCAGGTAAACTGATTGAAAAGCTCATGTCTCTCGGTTTAAGTGTTGCCATGTGTAAATGGATTTTTAGCTTTTTAACTGACAGATCTCAGAGAGTGAAAATCAATGACGGTTTTTCTGATGTTGTTTCTGTGAGCACTGGTTCTCCTCAGGGATGTATTTTGAGTCCTTTGCTTTTTACTTTGTACACTCACGATTGTGTGTCCTCCTCTGACTCAAACTTGATCATCAAATATGCTGATGACACCACCATCATCGGTCTCATCAGTGACAATGATGAATCCTCTTATAGAGCAGAGATACAAAATGTGGTTCAGTGGAGTAAAACTAACAACCTCCAGTTGAACCCAGTTGAACGCATCGAAAACATGTGAACTGGTCTACGACTTCAGTCGCAATAGTTCTCATTTGCCTGTCGTAATCGACAACTCCCAGGTGCAGATCGTAGAGGAGTGCAAGTTTCTGGGTCTAACTCTGTCTAACGACCTGAAATGGGTTAAAAACACTGACCGAGTCGTTAAGAAAGCCCGTCAGCGTCTCTACTTTCTGCGTAAACTTAGAGAATTACCACTAACTCTAAGATTCTGCTTAACTTTTATCGCTACACCATTGAGAGTTTACTTGTTGGTTCTGTGTCTGTGTGGTTTGGAAACATCACAGATAAAGAAAAGAGAGCTTTAGGTGCTCCGCTCTGCAAAGAGGACCGTGGGCTGTGAGCTTCCTGTTCTGGAGGTTCTTTATAAATCCAGACTTTTAAACAAAGCTCTTAGGATTGTCAATGACTCTTCTGGCCACCCTGGGAAAGCCATGTTCCAGCTTCTTCCCTCTGGCAGAAGATATTGCTCTCTGAGATGCAGGACATCTCGTTACGCTAACAGTTTTTATCCACAAGCTGTTATCAGTGTGAACAGAGCACTTTAATGATTTGCACTTGTTTTGAAACTGTTTTAGTCGATCGATTTCACAGTGACATTTGTTTACTGTTTTATTTGTTTTATTTTTGTCTTTTAATGTTGTTTTATGTCTGTATTTGTCTGTGCACACTGGAGACTTTTGCTAATGTATTCCAATGTGGTGTTTTTACTGCAAATGGCAAATAAACTGAATCTGAATCTGAATCTTGTGGCCCAAACAATCCAGTTTTATTTGAATTGTATATTGGAGATTATATATTAAATCCCCCGGGGCTTAGACCCAGGGATAAATTGTGAGTTTAGCTCTTCTGATGAGTGAGTTTATTTCTTTTGTTCTCCAGAATGAACCTTTGCTTTAGTTTTTTCTGGTTTGTCGTCAGGTTACCAGCTGAACTCAGCCGAGTGCGTGGATATTCGCTTGAACCAGAGTGTTCCGGAGCACCATTGTGAGAACACCAAGCCCACACCAAGGCTGCGGGAGTGTAGCATGGGGCCGTGTGCAGAGAGGTAACATACACGCACATGCACGCTCACATGCACGCAAACACACACACACACACACACTTCTATGCGGGGCCCCATAACCTTTCCAGTAAGAATTTGTCAAAAAACAATATTTGGTAATATTTGGCAAATCCACACCAGAAAATCAAAACCCGTTATTTCCATCCATTCATTTTCTTCCCCCGACCCATCGGGTGGCAGTCAGGGCTGTACGCCATGCACCGAGCACCAGCCGCTCACTGATCCTCCTGCAGTTGATGAGTCCACAAGAGGATGGCTGCCCTAGTCTGAGCTGCCTTTTTCTTTCAGTAGGGGCTTCTGGCAAAGTGGGGTCAAGTGTTTTTCCCAAGGACAGCAGACATCTGTGGGAGTCGGTGGAGAAGGTCTCATGGTGGGCTTGGACCCATGACCTTCAGGCTATCAACTGAGCCACTGTCGCCTCATTATTCAAAAACTTTATTTTTTGAATGATAATTTGTTGACAATAAAGGTCACAAGTCATCAGAATCAGAATCAGAATCAGAATAATTTTTATTGCCACGTAAGTAACAGGAGGTCACAGACTAGGAAATTGCTTTGGCTCAGTGCAACAGTCAAAAAGAGATAATAAAAATACGAATGAAAAACACTTCTAAAGAATAAATTAAAATTTAAAATAGAGTTACAGTTACTATTTACAATATCCAAGTGCACATGGTGCACACAATGTAAGGTGACAGCAGTACAGTGAAGTAAAGTGACGTATGATGGGCAGTAAAGTGACTTTATAAAGGGCGGGGGGACAGGTTAAGAAGTGTTCAAGAGTCCAACAGCAGAGGGGAAGAAACTGTTCTTGTGGCGGGAGGTTCTAGTCCTGATGGACCGCAGCCTCCTGCCTGAGGGGAGTGGTTGGAATAGTCCATGTGCAGGGTGAGAGGGGTCGGCTGTGATACGACCAGCCCGGCCTCGAGCTCGGGCGACGTACAGGTCCTGCAGCGATGGAAGGCTGCGGCCGATCACTTCCTCTGCAGAGCGCACAATGCCCTGTAGTCTGTTTGTCCCTGACTGTGGCTCCAGCGAACCACACGGTGATGGAGGAGGTGAGGATGGACTCGATGATGGCCGTGTAGACAAACATCTGTGCAGGCAGCTTGGCTTTCCTGAGCTGCCGCAGGAAGTACATACTCTGCTGGGCCTTCTTGATGAGGGAGCTGATGGTCGGCTCCCACTTGAGGTCCTGGGTGATGGTGGTGGCCAGGAAACGGAAGGACTCCACAAAGGTGATGGGAGAGTCCATCACGGAGGGTGGGGGCGGGGGGACAGTGCTCTTCCTGAAGTCCACAATCATCTCCACTGTCTTCTGGGCGTTCAGCTCCAGGTTGTTACCACTGCACCAGGACACCAGCCGGTCCACCTCCCTCCTGTAGGCGGACTCATCGTTGTTGGAGATGAGTCCAATTAGGGTGGTGTCGTCCGCGAACTTGATCAGCTTCACGGAGTCGTGGCTGGAGGTGCAGTGGTTGGTGTACAGGGAGAAGAGCAGGGGAGAAAGAACACAGCCCTGTGGGGCTCCTGTATTTATAATCAGAGAGTCCGAGACATTCTTCCCCAGACGCACTCGCTGCTTCCTGTCCGTCAGGAAGTCAGTGATCCACCTGCAGGTGGAATCGGGCACGTTGAGCTGGGAGAGCTTGTCCTGGAGCAGGGATGGCAGGATTGTGTTGAAGGCAGAGCTGAAGTCCACAAACAGGACCCTGGCGTAGGTCCCCGGGGAGTCCAGATGCTGTAGGATGTGGTGGAGGGCCAGGTTGATGGCGTCGTCTACAGATCTGTTGGCTCTGTAGGCGAACTGCAGGGGGTCCAGGAGGGGGGAGGTGAGGGACTTGAGATGGGAGAGAACCAGGCGTTCAAAAGACTTATGACGACAGACGTAAGTGCTACAGGTCTGTAGTCATTGAGTCCTGTGATCCTGGGCTTCTTCGGGACGGGGACAATGATGGAGGATTTGAAGCAGGCCGGGACATGGCAGGACTGCAGAGAGGTGTTGAAAATGTCAGTGAACACAGGAGTAAGCTCACTGGCGCAGTGTCTCAGAGTGGCCGGAGACACGTGGTCCGGGCCAGGAGCTTTGCGGGGGTGCAGCCTCAAGAAGAGTTGTTTAATCTCTTTAGCGGCTATTGTTAGGCTGGGGGCAGGGCTGATGGGTGGGTCGTTAGAGTAGTGGGGGGTGGGGGAGGGAGAGGTGTCAGGGGCAGCATCAAAGCGACTGAAAAATAAGTTCAGTCCGTCAGCTAGCTTGTGGTCGTCAGCACAGGGGGGGGCTTTGGGCTTGTAGTTGGTGATCTCCCGTAGGCCCCTCCAGATCATGATAAAACTATAGCCACAGATTGTAAAGATGAGTCAAGATGAGCTTTGAACAAACTTTATACTACGTTATATTGACGGAAATGTTCTGAATTTATAGCATGACAGATTCCATGGTTGCTTTCATTCCAATGAGCAACTGTTTGGATTCACTCACTTCACCCTGAGCATTTACAGATCTCTGGTCTCTCTCTGGTCTCGGGCTCTCTCTGGTCTCTCACTGGTCTCCCTGCGGTCTCTCTCTCTGTTCTCTCTATTGCGGTTTTTCCATAGTAATAGTACGGCACGGCACAATTATTTTGCATTTCCACTAGGGTTGGGCTTGGGATAAGGGTACTTTTTTTGGACCACCTCTACATAGGTTCCAAGCGTGCCAAAGCTACACCATAATGTGACGTCAGCCGACTGCCTTACATGTCCTACCCTATGGTAAAAGCAACTCAACCCTGCCATTATTGAAACCGGCTGCTCAGCTTCAACACGTTCTCCTCACTCCAGGGAAATAGAGTCGCACACAGAGCCCCAAGCGTACTGGTTGGTCGACAAGGTCCACACGTTACTCTCTATAGGCCGAAGAAAGAATTCAAAGGCAGCTCGACGGCACAACACGGAACGAGAAAGTCAGCTCTTGATTTGTGACTTTTTTCTGTGGTAATCCTGGAAATAACTGGTTATAAACTAGCTAAAACGTCCTTCCTGTGCTACTGTGCTTTATCTTGTTTTGCCATTCGGTTTTGTGCTTGTACTTAAGTTGTTGTGTGTATAATTATTTGTTTGAGAATCCCTTCCCGCAAGTGAGGAGATTACAAACGAACAATGAATGACCACTCGTCCCCTCACCTGGTCTCAAGAGACATACGTACTTTGGATTTTTTAAATGGTTGGTTTGGAACTTTACTTTTGTTTTTAATAAATCTGTGATCGTATCAACACTTTGTTTCATTCATTTGTCTGTACACATACAGAAAAGGGGTTCAAAAACAAAAGTTACAATTTCCTACCACATTTTTTTTATTTCTATTTGCATTACATACATTATATTTGTCAGTAAATTCGTATAACCTTGATACATTTATGAACAAGGATGGAGACATTTGTTAAGTACAAAAAGGTTTTATTTTTGGTCAAAACACAAGGGCAAAACAAATGTTAAGGCGTATGACAAAAAGTGACCATCAGACCAATGTTACAGTACTAGTTACGCAACGCAAGTAAATGATGTGGTCTGACAATACTTTGAGGTACTATTTTTAAAGGAAGTGCACCCACACTTGCCGTGGCAAACCGTGACTATGGAAAAGCGGCATATCCCTCTCTGGTCTTTCTCTCTGGTCGCTCTCTGATGTCTTTTGGATCTCTCTCTGTAATCTCTCTGTGTGATTTCTCTCTGGTCTCTGATTGCTCTGATTTCTGTCTGATCTCTCTCTTGTCTAGTTCTCTGATGTCTCTGTGGTCTTTCTCTCTGGTTTCTCTCTGGTCACTCTGGTCTCTCTTTCTGGCTTTTCTCTCTGGTTGAATGCTCTCTGCTTACCTGGCTCTCACTTCCCTGTGAGCCTTTACAGATCCCTGGTCTCCTCTGATTGGTCGACCTCTTCGACTGGGACTTAACCTTGATGCTTTCTGCCCCGGGCTCTGACTGTGCATCTCCTCTTCTTTTAGCTCTTCTTTTAGCTGCCAGCGAGAAACAAAACGTGAACGGTTTGTTAACTCAAGGGAACCTGCATCAATAGTGAAGCTGGATCAATAACCTAAAGATGAAGGTCTGAAAAACTCAATCTACATTTTAGATCTGGAGGTTGTTGGTGGTAACAGATAGTTAGGGTCAAAGAAGTGTCCAATCCGCCGCTGTCTTTCACATAAAGCTGTTTTTAACCTTAGTCTTTTGTTTTTCTGTTTTGCCTCCTAAAGCGATGGCTTCAAAGAGGTGATGCCCTATGAGCACTTCCAGCCACCGCCGCAGTGAGTGATTGCAACACAAAACGCACCCCAACCTGAGACATGGTTAAAGAATATAGAAGTGGAATCTTTTGAAGAAATTCATCCCAGAAATGAGGAGTGCAACAATATGTTGATATAATTGGAGCTGTATGCAAGGTTTTTCAAAACCATGATAGTTATTTTTTTTTGGAGTCTCTCTTTGGTCTCTGTCTGGGCTCTCTTGATCTGGCTTCTCTCTATTTGGTAACTCTCTCTGGTCTCTCTCTCTCTGGTCCCTCTCTGGTCTCTCTCTCTGGCCTCTTTGTCTGGCCTATCTGGTCTCTTTCTGGTCCCTCTCTCTCCGGTCTCTCTTTGTTTGGCCTCTCGCTGGGGTTCTAGCTTTCTGGTGTCTCTCTCGTCCCTCTCTCGGGTCTGTCTGGTATATCCCTGGGATCTCTTTCTCCCGTCTCTTTCTGGTCCCTCTGGTATCACTCTGGTTTCTCCCTGGTCTCTCCCTGGCCTCTCTCTGGACTCTCTCTGGTCTATCCATAGCCCTCAGTCCTCAGTGCTGTATCCTCTGCAGCTGTATTTTACAGAGTTGTTTATTGACATACTTATATTAAAGGCCTGTTACAATAGCATTTCACATCTTTTGTGATTCGTTTACAAGAACGATGTTTAAACAAATGAATCACAATAAATACTTTGATATTCATGTAAAAATATCTTGTTGAAATATGGAGTTTGTTTGATAATCAGAAGACAAATCTAATGGACAATGAATAAGCCACAGACACTGCATTTACAGTGCCTTGCGAAAGTATTCGGCCCCCTTGAACCTTTCAACATTTCGCCACATTTCAGGCTTCAAACCTAAAGATATACAATTTTATTTTTTTGTCATGAATCAACAACAAGTGGGACACAATCGTGAAGTGGAACAACATTTTTTGGATAATTTAAACTTTTTAACAAATAAAAAACTGAAAAGTGGGGCGTGCAATATTATTCGGTCCCTTTACTTTCAGTGCAGCAAACTCACTCCAGAAGTTCAGTGAGGATCTTTGAATGATCCAATGTTGTCCTAAATGACTGATGATGATAAATAGAATGCACCTGTGTGTAATCAAGTCTCCGTATAAATGCACCTGCTCTTTGATAGTCTCAGGGTTCTGTTTAAAGCGCAGAGAGAACCATGAAGACAAAGGAACACACCAGGCAGGTCAGAGATACTGTTGTGGAGAAGTTTAAAGCCGGATTTGGATACAAAAAGATTTCCCAAGCTTTAAACATCTCAAGGAGCACTGTGCAAGCAATTATATTGAAATGGAAGGAGTATCAGACCACTGCAAATCTATCAAGACCTGGCCATCCCTCCAAACTTTCATCTCAAACAAGGAGAAGACTGATCAGAGATGCAGTCAAGAGGCCCATGATCACTCTGGATGAACTGCAGATAACTACAGCTGAGGTGGGAGAGTCTGTCCATAGGACAACAATCAGTCGTGCACTGCACAAATCTGGCCTTTATGGAAGAGTGGCAAGAAGAAAGCCATTTCTCAAAGATATCCATAAAAAGTCTTGTTTAACAGGATAATCAACAGGACAATGATCCAAAACATAAAGCCAAATCTACAATGGGATGGTTCACAAATAGACGTATCCAGGTGTTAGAATGGCCAAGTCAAAGTCCAGACCTGAATCCAATCGAGAATCTGTGGAAAGAGCTGAAGACTGCTGTTCACAAACGCTCTCCATCCAACCTCACTAAGCTCGAGCTGTTTTGCAAGGAAGAATGGGCAAGAATTCCAGTCTCTCGATGTGCAAAACTGATAGAGACATACCCCAAGCGACTTGCAGCTGTAATTGCAGCAAAAGGTGGCGCTACAAAGTATTAGCGCAAGGGGGCCAAATAATATTGCACGCCCCACTTTTCAGTTTTTTATTTGTTAAAAAGTTTAAATTATCCAATAAATTTTGTTCCACTTCACGATTGTGTCCCACTTGTTGTTGATTCTTGACAAAAAATTTAATTTTTATATCTTCATGTTTGAAGCCTGAAATGTGGCGAAATGTTGAAAGGTTCAAGGGGGCCGAATACTTTAGCAAAAAAGGCAATTATTTTCACAATAACTCTATGATAAAAGGTTTGCTGATTGTAGTTGTTGCTATAGTGATCTGACTGCGTGTGTCTGGGCTATTAGCTGGGAGACTGGTCCATGGACTCGCTGCTCTGTGTCGTGTGGAGACTCGGGCGGAGAGCAGGACCGCAGCGTGCAGTGTGTGGAGGAGGACTCCAGGGGGCAGCTGTCGCCGCTTGAGGACTGGAGGTGCTCCCACTCCCCTCGACCAATCACACGACAGATCTGCAACGCCTTCTCCTGCCCACAGTGGGTCACTCTGGAGTGGTCCCAGGTCAGGTCAAAGAGAGTTTGTGTTTGTGTCGAGTTCTAAATATGCAGTTCACAGACAATATGTTTTCCGTCAATCCTTCTTCTTCCGCTTCATCCATTGCCGTGTTGTGGGGGCAGCAGTCAGAGCAGAGACGACTTGACTTTCCTCTCCACTCACACTTTGGATTAGCTGGAGGATTCTCCCTCATCCAGGGGAAATCCTCTGGCGTTCCGAGACCAGCTGAGAGACACACTCCCTGCAGCGTGTCCTGGGTCTTCCCATGGTTTCCTCCCAGTGGGACATGCCCAAAACATCTCCATCTGCCTGAGCCACCTCATCTGGCTCCTCTCCATGTGGAGAAGCAGCAGCTCTACTCTGAGCTCTTCCCATGGGACAAACCGCTTCAGCCTATCTCTGAGCTAATCCTGTGTGACAAAGTCATTCATTCATTTTCAAGCCCTTTATTGTCCATTTCTGGGTCAGGGGGGTGGCAATGAGAGCTGCCACCCAATGCTCATAGCACCAGTCCCTTGCTGATCTTCTGCAGGGGGTGAGTCCACAGGAAGATGGCTGCTCTGTCAGCGGTGAAACAGCCTTGGTCTTTCAGCGGGGGCTTCAGGCAACGTGGGGTTAAGTGTCTTGCCCAAGGACACAACGACAGTAGACATCAGTGGGAGCAGTTGGAGTAGGTCCCATGGTGGGAATCGAACTCACGACCTCCAGGCTCAAAGGCCACTGCTCTACCAACTGAGCTACTGTCGCCCCGACTGCCGCCTGTGTGACAAAGTGCCTCCCCCGATCTCCCAGGGAGCAGCGGCGCTACTCCGAGGTCCTCCGGTGTGACGACAATGAGCTCCTGCCCCTATCTCTAGAGGAGCTCCACTCTGGACTGCTTGTGTGGACGGCTTGAATCCACAATCTCAACCTTTCATTACCCAAAAATCAAAGTCCTTCACTGAGAACAAGACCAAATACTTGATCTCTATTTTCAATGAAATCCCTAAAGGTAATAGTTTACATGGGACATCAAACCTGTGGACATAGAGCAGATGGGGAAGTGAAAGGAACACGACCAGAATATTTATGTAGGTGAAAGTAAAGAGCCACCACAGTTTGTGTGTGTGTGTGTGTGTGTGTGTGTGCGTGTGTGTGCGTGTGTGTGCGTGTGTGTGTGCGTATGTGTGTGTGTGTGTAACACTAATGTCAGTACCTTCAAATTCATATTTTAGACTAGAGAGGGAAAGACCAATGACTGGAGTGGGACGATAAGTAATATTTATAATATAGGCCCTCATTGTGTTGACCACCGTGAGTGTAATTCAATAGAAAATAAACAAAACATTCTCACTTCTTATGCAGTAGCTGTGGGGGTTAGCATGGGCGGTGCTTGCATTCAGAAATCGTCGTCAATTGAGCAATTACGATAATCACATTTACTTTTTTTAAGTCTTTTGACTTAGAAAATCCAACCTGGAGGTGTCCTTTTGTGTGACTTCTTTAGAAAAATTATATGAAAATTTCACCCACATAAGGGAAAATGCGAAACGTGGGAGGGTAAGGTGGTGTTCTACTTATGTTTCAGTGCACAGTGACTTGTGGTCGAGGGTTGCGGTACCGAGCGATTCTCTGCATCGACCACCGGGGGCAACACATCGGAGGCTGTGACCCTTCACTCAAACCACATGTTAAAGAAGACTGTTTGGTGCCTGTTGCTTGCCTCAAACCCAAAGGTAACATGAGGCTCTGGATTTTGGGCTGTGTTACATGAACTTGTTTACATGTTATGTTGTTTATATCACTCATTTCATTCACCTCATACACCCGACCCACAATGTCTGTCCCTGGTCTCTCCAAGATGTCTGTCCCAGGTCTCCAAAATGTCTGCCGCAGGTCTCTCAATGACATCTGCCCCAGGTCTACATAATGTCTGCCCCCTGCAGGGTCTCTCCAAGATGTCTGCTCAAGGTCTACAGCATGTCTATCTCAGGTCTCGCCAAGATGTCTGCCCCAGGGCTCTGCACAATGTTTTTGCCCTAGTCTCTCCAAGATGTCTGCCCCAGGTCTCTCCAAGATGTCTGCCCAAGGTTTCCAAAATGTCTGCCCGCTGGTCTTTCCAATATGTATTCCCCTGGTCTCTTCAAGATGTGTGCCCCGGAATGTGAGGAAAGATACATTTTACTATGGCAGCGTTTGGGCTGGATTCCTATTTCCAGAATGTCACATGAATGAGCAGCAATTATTGTATATTAATTACACTGCTTGCTGCTGCTGCAACCAAAGTTCCCCTCAGGGAGAATCAAGAGTATCAACATGGGGATCACATTAGTTGTTTGAATCATATCCAGGTTCATAAAAGAGATCCACAAAACAAATAATAAATACAATGACAAATACAAATGGAAGTGAGTGAGTTTCTGCATTTTCAGAGTCTGAGCCTGTGGAAGATAAAGAGCCGTGGTTAAAGCAAGCCCAAGGTTTGGAGGAGCGTCCTGTGGCCACAGAGGAGCCCACGTGAGTATACACACAACACCAACAACACATCATTACAGTAATGTAACAAAGGACTAGTCCTCATGTGCCTTTGCTTAACTGGACTTTAAATTAAAGGCTTAAATATGCACAAACTGGACCTTATTTTAAGGTGGATTTTGTCCATATATTTCAAGGTGCATTTTGTGCATATATAAGCCTCACTTTTAGCTTTTAGCTTTTGGATACAGCTTACTATAATTAGCAACAGAAGCGACTGGTCCTTATTCCTACACAGCTCAATATTGTCTCTCTCTGATCTCTCGCTCTCTGGCCTCTTTTTGGCTTCTCCGGTCTCGCTCTGGTCTCTCACCCTGGTCTCTCTCTACTCTCGCTCTGGTCTCTTTTTAAATTTAGACAAAAAAACAAAATGACAATAACCGCAGCTTTATGTGGCTTGAATAAATGTGTTTGTTTATATTGATGCCAATTAGAAATAATGTATGAATTTGTCTGGTCTTTGTTCATTTATTCATCCCTCTTGACAAAAATCCTCTCTGTGACAGAGCCTCCCCTTTCCTCCTCTCACCCTTCCCCTTCCCCCTGCCCCTTGCCCAGCTGTGGGCTCTTGTTTACCCAGCCTGCCTGGTTCATCTTCATATTAATAAAACACAAGAGGAGCGCTCCCTGTTGTGGCGTCCTTATCTATCGGCTAGAACCGAGAAGCCGGACTCAAAGTGCATTTTTATGTGGCCTCGCAGGGTTCGGCAATGCAAACATACAGTATACCTCAGCCTAAACCCACAAAATGCACACAGACACACAACTCTGCCTCAGCCCAAACCCACACACACAGACACATATACAAACACACAGGCTTTGAACTTTTGAGATTTCCAGGGGGCGATATCCTGTGTCAGACGTTGATGTTAGAAAAAAAGTTGCCAAACTGGTCGCATTTGAGCCAACTTTTGGGCATATCTGCTGAATAATAAGTAACTATGAATATAAGACACTGAGTCACACTGAGATCAGAAAAAGAGACCAGAGAGAGACCAGAATAAGAGACAAGATAAATAACAGAGAAAGACCAGAGAGAAAGATCAGGGTGGGACCAGAGAGAGACCAGAGAAAGAGAGTGGATCAAGGAGAGACCAGAGAGTGACCAGTATAGCAGAATTTCCACATGAGCTTACATAACACTGTTTATACAGCAACCTGGCTTCCCACAGAAGTTTACTTTTTTTCTTGTATTCATTTCTGTTATAGTTTTTTGTTTTCTATCTCTTATCAAGTTTCAGGATCTGATCCTGGATGACTTCCTCTCCTCAGGTTTGTCCCGGGACCCTGGTCACCCTGCAGTGCCTCCTGTGGTGTGGGGGTGCAGGTGCGAGCACTGAGGTGTCGTGTGCTTCTGTCCTTTACCCACACGGAGGTGGATCTTCCAGAAGGTGAATGTGGAGGAGAGGCCCCCCAGAGGCAGAGAGCATGCAGTCTGGGCCCCTGTGACGGCACCAAGGCAGAGGACCCTCCAGGACATCTCCACACTGGGACAGAGCTCCACAACTGGAACTACCGAGGGTTCAGCGACTGCTCAGTTTCGTGTGCCACTGGTGAGTCCAGAGAGGCGTTATTTATTTAATTAGAATATATGCACAAATATTACACTTGCCGGCTGGACCAAATAGTTGATTCCTCGCAACTAATCAATTATTGAAATAGATGTCAATAGATGGACCCTGTTGCCAATATTGTTGGCAGCATCCTTGTTGACAATGCTTAGAGAGTGAATGAGATCTTTCCTTACTACCTAAAGTCTGGATGTTGTAGGACTGTCTTGGCTGACACGTCTAATGCAGCATCGTAGTGCCAACAATGTGGCAGACCGGGGTGGTGGTCCCTCTCTACAAAAAAGGGGGACCAAAGGGTGTGCTCCCCAGTAAGGTCCACTCCAAGGTTCTGGAAAGGAGTCTTTGTCCGATAGTCAAATTGTTAAGGTTTAGTCTTCGAACCCCAAAGCAGAGGGAGGCCAAAGCAGTTTAACAAAAGTCTTTAATAACCAAAAATACAAAATACTCAAAAATGGTTGGAGCAGTGGAGACAGGGAGCAGGCCGGCCGAAGAGCAGAGTAGAAACACGAGGACTGGACGAGCACAGGATCTGGAATTGTAACAGGAAGGTGAGTAATCCAAAAACTCAGGTAAGTAGTGAAGAACACGGGGTGGTACTACCGATGAGACGGAATTATCTGGCAGAGGAGTGATGAGTAGACCAGGTTTATATACTGAGTAGAGTGGAGTGAGTGGCTGCAGGTGTGTCTCGTCAGCAGCCCAGCAGAGACCGTCCTCTGCTGAGGGCCATCCGGTCCCTGTATGACCGGAGTCAGAGCTGTGTTTGCTTTTCCGGCAGTAAGTCAGCCCTGTTCCTGGTGCATGTTGGCCTCCGCCAAGGCTGCCTTTGTCACTGGTTCAGTTCACTGTCTTTATCGACATTTTTTCTAGGCACGTGCCTGAAGAGGGAGCTGAGCTGAAAGGCAATGCTCTCGATTTACCAGTCATTTCTATGTTTCTCTACCTTGTTTTTGGACTTACATAACTAATTTATTATCTAAATAATCATTATTATCAGCCCTAATGTATTGAACTTAGATGTTCCATTTTCTTGTCAATGTTCTGGTCTTCATGTTGAGTTCTGTGTTGTGCAGAACTTCATGTTGATTTGTGTGCTTTTCAGGTCAGCAGACAGCCATAGTCAGGTGTGTGAGCTGGAGACTGGCCAGGGAAGTGGACGACGCTCTGTGTGACGAGTCCAGTAAACCTGCTGCGATGATCCGCATCTGCAACCCTCAGCCCTGCCCACCCAGGTGAGCCACGCCCCTGCCCCAACTGTGTGTGTGCGTGCATGCGTGTGCGCGCAAATCGGGAAAGTCCAGCACCAGTATGTCCTTTGAGCACCCTTCCGTCTTAAACATTTTTTCTCTGACCTCATGATTGGATGGTCTTTGGATGGTGATGCAGAAGGGGAGATGGAAACGTATGATGCTGGTTGTCCCTACACCCTGGTGGTGGGAGCTGGGAGAAGGGTGAAAGAGTTGGTCCAGCCAACAAGGCGGTGGGGAGGAGGGTTGCTGCTCAGATTAAAGCTGCCCACACAATATGAAGACTTGATGCAGGGTAATACTTAATTGCTGCTGGGCAAGGATTGGCAGTGTGATTGACTGATGCTGTTTCTATGAGCAACTCACTGTTCAGTCCTGAACAGTAAGTTTAGTTCTCCTCCCTTCCAGGCTGAAACTCCACTTTAGCTTGATTTGTTTCCACACAGGGAAACAAAGGTCATGATTTGGGTTTAAACACGATTGGCGATATATTTGTTTGGGAACTCCTGAGTCTCTGTTGGATACCCGGGAGCAGAAAGGAGCAGAGATATACACACAAAAGCACTCAGACAACACACACACACCTACACACACACACACATACACATACTTCTTATTCTCTGCGGGAAACCCGGGAGCAGATAAAAGCAGAAAGACTGATCGCAGCTAAACAATCCAAATTACACCACAATCCTCAGAATTAAGGCTCTGATGTGCGGATTACACAACAGCAGGTGGTTCCAGCAGGTGGTTCCAGCGGGTGAGGCAGAAAAACACAAAGATAAGCAGAAGTGGAGCTGGTCTCACAGGGAGAGCAGCTTCAGGAGGAATGAGCTTGTCTTGAATTAATGAGTCTGATTCTGAAAAAACATATTTGCCCATTCTGCATAACAACAGTGTTCTCCAGCCTCAAAAATGGGTAAAGTTGTGGATTACCTTTTACCAAAGGATTTTAAGACTTGTCCTTTGATTTATAGGTGAAACTCTGACAATTAGAATATTGTTCGGAACATATTATATGCACAATACATACAGTATACACAGTGTACAGCACAGTTATCAATATGACAGACAAATAGTAAGTACATGGTTCTGTAGGGTAATTAAATATAGTATTTGTAAGGCAACAAGATATATGCGTATCTTAGATCCAACGTATACTTTGGGTACACTTTGGTTCCAAAATACACATATAGTAGTACCTACTTGGATTGAGAATTGCCTTACATTTACTTTTATGCGTGCTTACTCTAAGAGTGGTCTAATTCGACTAATACATCTAAAGTGTGCGTTCTATTCGTCAGAGAGTTCATCCTTCAGATTATTTAACTAATAACAAAGGAGGCTGATAGTAATTCTAGCTGTTTATTTACAGAACGAAACCTTCAAAGCATTTATAGATTGTTGTGTGAGTCACGAGTCAGGACAATGCACTATACCAAAGCAGACACATAAGAACACATTAACAAGCACGATACATCTTACTGGTCGATTCGTGGCTGGAAGGCAGTCCGTGTGTGGCTCTAGTCCCGTTCCTTTGTTGCTAACACGAGCACGCGGTCCGGCCTGTGGTCCCGGAGGTCTCTGAAGAAGCACGCGTCTTTGTTGTTGTTCTCCGTAGCAGACGGCTGTGTAGACGTCTGGCTTGTTGTTACTCCAGGGAAGGAGGCAGTTACTCCAAGTTGGCTTGAGCAGAGTTCAGAGAGTGGAAACAGCCCTGGCCGAGGCCGTTCGCGCAAGGCCAGCTCGCGGGCGGAAAACGTAATGACAGAGGAAAAAAGCGGCCTCTGTAAGAGAAGAGAACAGAGCAGAAGAGAAGAAGAGCGCTTCCCGGCGAGTTTTGTTTTTGTCACGGGGGCGAGTCCTTTGTAGTCACTTCCTGTTTCCGGCTCTTTCACAACACAGAGACTTTTGCGTACGCAGTTTAGTGAGATGTATTATACATAATTGTTTAAAGCACAAACATTTCAAAAGACATCATGACTTACAATTCAATAATGATTAATGACAACACAGAAATGCAGGTTTACATTTGGAAGCATAAATGGAGTAGAATATATCAGTCCGCTAAGGCTGCTAGGGGGCAGTGAGATCACGGTCCTGTCTTGACGTCATGGACCCTCGTCTGTGAAGAAAGCTTTTCCTCCCCCATGGGGAGATTGGCGTGGAATGTCTTAGATGCTCGGGAGGGAGACAATGGTCACTGTCCTTGGAGCACCGGGGGAATACACAGATGTCTTTGATGGTGGTGTTGTTTCTCAGCAGGGGTTGACGTCGACCACCAGAGGCCACTGTTAGGACCATCCATCCATCCATCCATTTTCTTCCCCTTAATCCATTTCTGGGTCGGGAGGGTGGCAGTCAGAGCTGCACCCAGTACACAGAGCACCAGCCCCTCACTGATCCTCCTGCAGGTGGTGAGTCCACAGGAGCTGATATCTTTCAGTGGGAGCTTCAGGCAAAGTGGGGTTAAGTTTCTTGCCCAAGGACACAACGACAGCAATCATCAGTGGGAGTTGTGAAGTGGGTCTTGTGGTGGGCTCGAACCCACAACCTTCGGGCTCAAAGGCCAATGCTCTACCAACTGAGCCACTGTCGCCCCCCCTGTTGGGACCCTGTGTGTTTTAATTTAATTAAAGAAGTTATACCCGATTTTTTTTCTAAGTAGTTGATAAAAATGCTTATTACTACATACAAGTTGTATTATAATTCGTAATTTAATTGAAAACTTGAGGTAATTGATTCAGCTGTGTAAGAATTACAAGCAGTGAAAAGTGCTGAGTAGAGTCTGAGCGGGCCGCTCGTTCTCCTCCACTCACAGAACGAGCAGCGAACAGCCTGCGTCCTCTAGTCTCTACAGCGCTGCTAAACACTAGGGCTTCAGCTTCAAAATTCGAATATAATTCTAAAATTAAAAATATATATATATATATCCGAACACATATTAGACAGCAATGTATTCAATAACTGCAAAAAAAATAAATAGTTAGCTCCCAAAGGTTCCACCGGGACGTGCTAGGCAGGTAACAGCTAAGCTAGCTAGCTCCCCGGAACTACATGTTAATGGTAACTTCCGGGTTTTTTGCGATCGCTTTTTGTCACATTAAAATAGTAATTTGGTCATGAAAACGATAACAAGAAATTCTGAAAAAGTCCGTGCATGTGTGTTAAGGATGTATATGTATACTGTATTGTCCGATTAACATTTAATGGTGTTGATTGATTGATATGTGTTTGTTTATTGAGCGTGGCTAGCTCCGCTAGCTTCTCTCGTTGTACTTGCGGAGTAATGGCAGTATTTTACACACCTGAATTACAGAGATTGCATTGTCAAAGGGCAGCGGTCATTATTGATTTGAGAGTTCTGTTATCAAGAAAAAATTATCGGTAGAATTACATTAAAGTCAATGGAGTGTTCTACTGCTGCTGTGAGGAGCTGTATAATAAATTATAATTAAATACTCGAATATATTCTAATGTTTTAATGAATAAATTCGGATGCGAAACTAGCAGTATTCTTTTACCTATATATTGTGTTAGCAGTGCGTTGCTTTAGTACCATTTCATCAGTGATTGTTGTACGGCTTACAAGAAGTTGTGCTAATGTTAGCATACATGTCATATCGCAAATTGAGCTAGATGGCTCTGTGTTATGAGAGCGTAGGGGAAAGGAGAAGCCATTGAGCGAGTTGGGGGGCGGTGCTAAACATTCAAACCTTGCAGAAACGGGTATAGCGCCTTTAAAGAGTCTTAGCGTCTGTGGTAGGTGTGAGCAGCAGGCTGGTGGCAAGAATCTCATCCTACAGTTCGTAAAGGGGTTGGGTGAATGTTTATTTTTGAATGCGCTGGAAACGGCAGCGCTAAAATGTTGCTGGAGTACAGTGTTCATGGTTTTACACAGGTCCTGACCGGAGCGGAAAGGATTCATAGTCCAAAACAAGCGGATCAGTTGAAAATCCCCAAAAACAATACACACAGACTCACTCAGACAATATGCAAAGGCACACATAACACACATTACAATGCTGGAATAATATTGTCGAGGATTTAGCAGACAGAGACGGATCGTGGTGCGCCAAACTCTGGAAGCTTATTTAAGTTTCTCCCAAGTTCCAGTGGTTTCAATTGTTTCTTTCTCTCACAGAATGGAGTCAGTACACAGTTTATATAGTCATTGTCACGTCACACATCGAAAGACATACGTGTCACACAGAGACAGTCACATCATAGTCAAAACATGGAGTCATCTTCAGAGTCCTTGTACAGTCCTGCACGTAGGCCATATTGCTATCTAATACTAACACCCTCCCCTTTGATCACATAATCACATGTGATCACTCAATTTGATCAATCAATAAAGTGAAAAAAAAAAAAAATCAAAAAACTTTAAAAAATTATTAAAAAACAAAGAAAATGTATGCATTAAACTCATAATCATCAAATCAATATCAGTGGATTTTATCCTCTATCCTGGGAAAAAAAACAAAACAAAAATAAAGTAAATAAGTAAACAAAAATAAAAACAAACAAAAATTAAAAACAAATCAAAAATAAAAACAAACAAACACTATTGGACACACAAGAACTCAGCAGATTCAGTCAAAACACAGACAAAAACGAGCTGAGTCTCAATTTGAAGCTAATTTCACTTTTCTTACTCTATACTTTTATTCTAATGCTAATTGTTTACACTACACTTCTCTTATTTCACTGTATTATTATCAATTTTCAATCTTACTCTGTGTACTTTACTTTCATGATTCACTATAGTTTAAAACTATTCTAATCTATTCTGGAACCCTATTTAAAAATATGTTTGCATATATTTTAATCTAATAAATCTCTCTGTGGTTTACTTTCATTATCAGTGGCTTTGTGTCAGTGGGATTTTGCTCTATGTCTATTCTACATTCTCAGGAATAAAACTGTGAACACAGAAAGACAAATGGTTAATATGCTAGAAATATTCTCTATTTTTGAAAGCA